TAATAATAATAATAATAATAATAATAATAATAATAATAATAATAATAATAATAATAATAATAATAATAATAATAATAATAATAATAATAATAATAATAATAATAATAATAATAATAATAATAATAATAATAATAATAATAATAATAATAATATTAATAGTAATAATAATAATAATAGTAATAATAATAATAGTAATAATAATAATAATAAATTTTAATACTGTATTTATTTATTTATATGCGTATAATAATATATATTCTATTATTATATTACTTACTAAGTATATTACAATACTACTAACAGTACAGCCTTATTATTTTCCTTTCTAAATGGCTGCTACTATTCAGACTTCACCTATCCAGCAGCTGGTGGTATGTATTATATTTATTTCTTTCATTTATACATTTTCCTATAGTACTTGCATCTCTTCCTAACAACTTAAGCACTTCTTGCGTTTTCCTTCACTAGCAAAATCTAAAATGCTTCTTCCCTTAGGATCTATTTGACTCTGTCCTTGACGAGTCCCTGGTCATTGCTATTGCAAATGACTACGATGTGTCTACCGCCGCCGGCTATAGTACTGCCTGCACGATCCTGCAGAATCTCGCGCAAGATGCCAACATTGAAGAATCCAGTGGTTTCGACCCAAGTGCCGTACACCGACTTCAAGAAGATGAAAATAGACAGGTAGTAGATATTGAGCGCTCAGCCAGCACAAGCAGTCTCAATAGGAAACAGTTGAGTGGCCAAGGATCGATCGACCCGGAAAATACGACATCTTCACTTCCTTTCTCTGCGGAGTTCGTGCTTCCAGATCGTGAATTCTCAAATTCTGGACTGCTGGAAACAGATATTCTACAGTTGCAGGATTTATTCCCTGATTTACAAGGTTGGGCTATTAGGCATGCACTACTTGAATCAAATGGCGTCGTTGCGACTGCTTTGGATACCCTCCTCAGTGTACAATATCTACAATCCGCCACTTCTCAAAGGACTGCGTCAGATGCACTTTCCAGCGCTGGTGACACCAAGATCGAGAATCTTGGTGGCAACCGTAGTGTATACGGATATGACGCAGCAAGAATGACCGATGGCGAGGCCAGCATGAGTAATGCAAAGACGCTGAAAAGTGAGTTGATCCTGGTGTCTGCCACACACTCCGTGAGTTACTAAATAGAGTGGTGTTATCACAGCTCCCGCTGCTATCGTCTACATATCCAAGCGTTTGAATATGTCTCCTGAAGAAGTGTCTATAATATATGCCGAAAACGGCAACTCTAAAGTGGCTACCATCCTCGGAATCCTGGATCAGTTCCTCATACAGAAAGAGACCGAGTCCCCATCAATTGTAGAGAAAAAAGCCATAGATGATCTCAAACAAAAGCACCGCAATACCCCAGACGAGTACCTGCGGGTTATCGTCCGGATAACTGGGCCGGGTTCTGCATATGCTGCGGAACTCGCGGCACAAGTGAACGCGTACTTCAGCAAAAGATCGATGAACCAGAAACTCAAACTGAATTATAGACTAACACCGCTGCCACACGAAGATCTCGAAGGATCAATAGAGACAGTCACTAATACCCAGGCTGAAGGAAGGAGTCCTCGTCGAGCTAATTCGATATCAACTTCTGGTGCCGGAAAAGATCTCGACAAGGCTCTGCAAATATCAAACAATCTACATAGGCAGAAACAAGATGCGATTGCATCTGCTGCAAGTCTCCATCGGCGCGGGGCTTCAAACCCGCTGTATCGACAGGCAGCAGGCTATTATGCGCAACAGGCTCGCGAACACGCAAAGCATGCCCAAGAAGCTACGTCCACTGCGGCAGACATTCTAGTTGACCAACAAAGCACCGATAGGACAGTTGATTTGCACGGCGTGTCCGTCCAAGATGGAGTGCGAATTGCTCGTCAACGAGTTTTGAGTTGGTGGAAAGATTTACGTGCTCGGGAAAAGCCAGTGTTAGACAAAAGTCTCACTATTGTTACTGGCTTAGGCCGTCATAATGCAAGTGGAATTTCACCACTCCGACAGGCTGTGGCTGCTGCACTTGCGCGGGACGGGTGGAAGTATACAGTAGAAACAGGGAGGTTTGTTGTTTCAGGGCGAGGGAAGTACTGAAATTGAGAGTAGATCTAGCTAGGAATTACGATTAAAGTAAAAGAAAATATTACAAAAGGAAATAACATAATTCAAGAATATCAGGTATGCTGAATATTATGAAAGTATTAGTTTAATTAACAAAAATTATTACTGTGCTTAATAGTTAAGATTCATAATGGTAATAAAGGCAGTTATTTCTAAGTTTATACAATGTATAAATGTATAAATACACGGATAATGACGTTATGAAAATCTTGGTATTATTGCGTTAGTAGGTTTCCTTTTAGTACGCTACTAAACTTATTGCCATTAGCACATTTTTGCTTGCCTCAGAACCATCCTAACGTTTACATCCGCTGACGATTGCGCACCCGGATCATTCAATTGCTTCAATACACTCCAATACTGCCTTTCTTTTCCTTCACATTTCGAAATGTCTCGCGGCGGCACTACCTTATATGTCACAGGCTTTAGCCACGGCACCCGCGCCCGCGATCTCGCCTACGAATTCGAACGGTACGTCAACCACGCCACGCTCACGCGCACGCTTTCGCTCTCGTCCTCGCCCTCGTCCTCGCCCTCGTCCTGTCTTGTACCGCCCCGAGGAACTCCTTTCGATCGACAGATTTGATACACCGTCGATGTCGATGTCGATGCCCTCGCAACCCTCCCCCCCCCGTTGACGCCTGAACCTACCTCTCCCTTTTCCTGCCGTGTTGGTCGATGCGCTTCATTTATCGCCCGAAGTTGTTCTGTGCGAACCGATAGTTAGATTGCACCTCCTTTCGTGTGCATACAGTCAATGAAAATGCCCGATAAACGGCTGCCCCGTCGACTGCGCCCTCCGTGTCTGCATTGTGATGGCATGGCTAATGATGAGTGTCGAATAGATATGGGCGCCTAGTCCGCTGTGACATTCCCGCGCCTCGATCTACTTCCAGCAGACTGTGGGTAGCTTGATACTCTTGAGAAGCAATCGCTTTGCTAACGGCTTCCAATAAGATTTGCCTTCGTGGAATATGAAGACAGGCGCGATGCCGATGACGCATACCATGAAATGCACAACAAACGTATTGGCCGAGATGATTTATTGAAGATCGAGGTGCGTGTGCAATGATATAATTTTTTGCCATTGCTAACGTGCTTATAGTGGGCTAGAACACCTCCTTCAGCCTCATGGCGCTTCGAATCTGGGCGTGATCGTGATCGTCGTGGACCTCGATCTCCTCGCCGTGGCCGGTCGCCCTCCCCCCGTCGCAGTACCCGTGACTATTCTCCGCGCAAAGACGAACGTCGGGATCGCGACAGAGACTATGATCGCGACAGTCGAAGGGACCGAGATCGCTCTAGAAGCCCTGAACACCGGTAGGTTTTTCGAACAATCAATGGTATTTTGGAAGTTGACATTTTTTTTTTTTTGCATAGCGACCGAGACCGCGATACAAAAGATGAGCGCGATGATCGCGACCGAAAGGAAAACGGAACTAACGGCGACGAAAGAAAAGGTAGCGCGGCATTTCCCGGATCTGACCTTTCCAATTAAGAACTCAATACTGACATCTCCCAGCTGAGAGTCCTCTTCCCGCTCATGACGATCTTGATGTTGCTGAGTAGTAGAAGCCACCAATGTCGAAATGTAATCACGGTAGTAGACCGGTTGCCTGGAATCTTAACAGTACTGCTCTCTTTTCTGTCCACATTTTCCTCTCATCTGTACAATGCTCGGATCTCCAGATATTTTCTACATTCAAGCACATGAAAGATATCTTTCGTGAGATGCGAGATACCTGGTACAAGACCAAAATTTGTGCTGGTTATAATGGTGTTCGAAAACGCGCCTTCAACGGTTTGCGATACTGAAGTATTGTAACTAATACCTATCTAGTAATAAAACAGTTATTTTTTTTTCCAAGTATGCCACTAGAATAACTGCACTTACTTATGCTCAATAGCATGTAAGCGTTGTCTTAGTCGAACAATTACCTTTATCGATAGAACACCTCATTCAGCAAAAAAGTTAGGATATACTAGTATATAGCTTGAATACAGGGGGGCCATCTTTTCCACTAACATTACGTGTATGCCTAGCAGGCAACTACGTAATTTAGCTATGGATAGCTAGGCTGCCTTGGTTAGAGGGGAATGTGGCTGTGTGGGGTTGCTGGCGTCAATTGTCTGACCCCCCTCACTACTAGCTGGCTAGTCATTACTGCGAGCAGATTACGCAGCTCCTTTGTTCTGAACATTGACTCGACATTGACTCGAAGAAAGATCACCAAGGTTTCCAGTATGAATGTCCTTAAGCTTCAGAGGTACGTTGAATGTTAATCGGCCATGGCCTCACTCGGCCTTGATCTAATGCGTTTGATAGGAAGTTTCCTCAATTTCCTCAGAATGAGATCTTCCAGCTTTCCGACGCCTTCCAGCGGCTGGACGTAGAAGACCGGGGATACCTCGACGAAGCAACGGCCATTAAAGCCACCCAGCAAAGCGAAAATCAGCCGTATGATGTTGTCAGACAAGCTTTGAAGGAAGTAGATCTCGACTCTTCACGGCGAGTAGAGCTCGAAGACTATGTCGGAGTCAGTTAATCCATGTCTTGCTTCGCAACTCCTCTAACACTTGCCAGCTTATTTCTAAATTGCGCGCTGGATCGACCGCGCAAAAACGTCTCTCTACTGGTCCTGGGCCAGCATCTTCTGGAGCTGGCGCCACCCAAGGCCATGCCTCAAAGGGCAGCGTAAGCGGCAAAATCCAAGTCCAGGGATCAAATGCGAACACTACGCATACAATCAACGAAGACGAGAGAACAGAGTTTACCCGCCACATTAACGCGGTCTTAGCTGGTGATCCGGACATTGGTAGCCGACTTCCGTTCCCTACCGACACGTTCGAGATGTTCGACGAATGTAAAGATGGTTTGGTTCTTGCGAAACTCATCAACGACAGCGTTCCGGATACTATTGATGAGCGAGTTATGAATATGCCCGGCCGGAAAACCAAAACTCTAAATGCTTTCCAAATGAGTGAGAACAATAACATCGTCATTGAATCATGCAAGGGTATTGGGTGCTCTGTTGTCAATATCGGAGCAGGAGATATCATTGAAGTTCGCGAGCATCTTATTCTCGGTCTCATTTGGCAAATCATTCGACGAGGCTTGCTGGGAAAAATCGATATCAAGCTGCACCCTGAACTCTACCGACTCCTGGAAGAGGATGAGACTCTAGAGCAGTTCTTGAGACTGCCTCCTGAGCAGATTCTGCTTCGTTGGTTCAACTACCACCTAAAAGCCGCCAATTGGCCCAGAAGGTATGTGCACAATTGTTTTCCTAAGGGACTATCACTAACTCTTTGGCCTCGTCTAGAGTGACAAACTTCTCGAGCGATGTGAAGGACAGTGAGAACTACACCGTCCTCCTCGCGCAAATTGGAGGAGAGTATGGCTGCACACGAGCTGCTTTGCAAACCAGAGATTTAACGCAGAGAGCCGAAGAGGTGTTGCAAGAAGCCGATAAGCTTGGATGCCGCAAGTTTTTGACTCCGTCATCATTGGTAGCGGGCAACCCGAAACTGAACTTGGCATTCGTCGCTAATCTCTTCAATACCCATCCTTGCCTTGACCCTATTACCGAAGAGGAGAAGTTGCAGGTCGAAGATTTCGACGCAGAGGGAGAACGCGAGGCGAGAGTCTTCACTCTGTGGCTAAACAGCTTGGATGTGCAGCCAGCTGTAGTCTCGTTTTTCGATGATTTGAGGGACGGCTCGGTTCTTCTACAGGCATACGACAAGGTCATTAAAGGGTCTGTTAACTGGCGCCACGTTAACAAAGCTCCCGCTCATGGAGGCGAAATGCTCAGATTCAAAGCTGTCGAAAACACAAACTATGCTATAGAGTTGGGCAAGCAGAATGGATTTTCGCTCGTAGGCATTCAAGGAGCAGATATTACGGACGGCCAAAGAACGTTGACACTTGGACTTGTGTGGCAACTCATGCGAAAAGATATTACGCTGACGCTATCTTCTCTGGCACAAAATCTCGGCAAGAGAGAGATAACTGACGCCGAAATGGTCAGATGGGCCAACGATATGTCAAAGAAGGGCGGTCGGAACTCATCTATTCGGTCATTCAAGGATCCTGCGATTGGCTCTGGTGTTTTCCTTCTGGATGTTCTCAACGGCATGAAGAGCAGCTACGTGGACTATGACCTTGTGACTCCCGGCCAAACGGAAGAAGATGCATACATGAATGCGAAGTTGAGCATTAGTATTGCTCGTAAGCTCGGCGCGACCATATGGCTTGTCCCCGAAGATATTTGCCAAGTCCGTAGTCGCCTGGTGACGACGTTCATTGGTAAGTTCAATAACATCAAAGGCTGTGCAGCCTTTATTTATCCATGTTCAATTGCTAACATAAGGTGATAGGATCTCTGATGGCAACTCACGGTAAAGCGTAAATTATCTTTCGGGTTCCATTCAAATCCAACAATTTTAAATGGCACTAATTACCACTAAATATTAATTAAATCATATAAATATGTTAATAAAAAAGAATTCTAAGATGACAGCTTCACATCTGTAATTGAGTTGAGGAGCCTATATTGTCAAAGAAAGATTAGTATTTTGTTTCTCTGTTGGCCGTAATTTTAATACAATGGGCCTGCTTACTGTAAGTTTCGGTCCCTCATCTCTCGGTCGAGAGAGTCAACTTGTTTGGCAGTCAATCTAACTTTGCTGAGCTACTTCAAACGGTTAGTCAAATCGAAACATCAACCTGCGCACGAACAATCATTGCACGATTGGCGACAGTTTACAGGGGCTCTCTTACCAAAGCTAGTGCCGTTGAAGAGTGATCGATTTCTTCACCGTCGGCTGCATTGTCTGCTGCATCTAGACTACCAGTCCCGCCGCTGGTGGACTTGAATAGAGCGGCCTGAGCCTGATGCGTTGTTAGCCAGGGAACGTCTTTAGGTATAAGAAAAGGTACGAGAACTTACCTCTGCCTCCGCTAACTCAGCATCCTTGATTTGTAGCTGACCTTGCAGCTGGTCATTCTGAAGGTCTGCTTCGCCGAGCTTTTTCATGAGCTGCTCAACATTCATCTCCGCTTCCTTCACTTTCTTGTTGGCTTCTTCCACTAGTGTGGTCATGCTATCATTCAAGTCGCTATAATCTGCGTGAGCCGTCTTCTGTTTCAATTCTGACGTTATCCGCAGCTCTTCCAAGTCCTTGGACGTCAGAATCAAGCTTTCTCGGGTAGCGGTATATTTCTCTTCCATATCGGCAAGGTTATCTTTGGTAGACTTCAACTCAGCCTTAGTAACAGCCAAGGCCTCCTGGAACGTCTTGGTTGTTGCAACAAGTTCAGCCTTCAGGGTGTTGATAGCTGTCATATCAGGTTTGGCGGTCTGAATGGCGTCTAGCTCAGCAAGTGCGGTCATTCGCTCTACTTTTTCTAGAGCAAGCTGCTGGCCGACGTCATCTGCTTCTGCTTGGACAAGGACTAGCTGCTCCTGTGCCGCTTTCAGTGAAGCATGAAGAGTGGCATTGGTGGAAGCCTGAAGTGATAGTTGTTCCTCTGCTGCTTTCAACGAGGCTTGGAGAGTGGCATTAGCGGAAGCCTGGAGTGAAAGTTGCTCTTCCGCGGTTTTCAGTGAGGCTTGGAGGGTTGCAGTGGTGGAAGCCTGAAGTGAAAGTTGTTCTTCCGCGGTTTTCAATGAGGCCTGGAGAGTTGCATTTGTGGAAGTCTGATGTGACAATTGCTCCTCCAGGCTCGCACTCTGAGCTTTGACTTCATCTAGAGTAGCCCTGGAGCTCGCGTTTTGAGACTTAGCTTCTTCTAGAGTAGCCTCGAAGCTCGCCTTCTGAGCCTTGGCTTCGCTTAAGCTGGTCTCCATTTGCGCATAAGCGACTGTTAGCTCTTCTAGTTTTTGGGTTACTTGGAGTCCCTCTTCTTTCAGTGCAGCCATAGCATCTGCGTGAGCAGTGGTGAGTTTCTCAATTTCAGCAGCGTGTAGGCTAAGCAATTCCTGCTTTGAGACTTCATACTCCTCCGCACTCGTGGATTTCGCATTTTCAAGCTGTGCTGCCACCTCTTCAAGCTTCGTATGCAGCGCAGCCAATTCCTCTGCATGTTGACTAGACGTCGTCGTTAGAGTAGATTGGTGTGCAGCAAGCAGCCCTTGTGTTTCTTCCTCGTGAAGCTTCTTAAGGTCATCCAGCACCTTCTCGTGGAGCCCACTTTGCTCTACCGATGTAGCTTCTCCATCTGCAAGTGCGAGCCGCAGTTGTTCGTCGTATCGAGCTTTGATAGACTCTAGTTCTTTAGCGTGAACGTCCAATGTTTCCAAAGCTTGGGTTTTGGCAGCTGCCAGCTCTTCGTCATGACGATGTCTCAAATTGGCCAGCTGCTCTTCATATTCTCGTCCTTTAGACTCAAGTGAGTTAAGCGCTGATAGCCGGCGCTCTTCCGACTCTGCCAGAGCAGTTGTATGCTTCTCTGATTCTTCGGTCAAGGAAGCCTGCAGATCGTTGTGCAGCTTTTCCAGTTCTTCAAACTTGCGTTTAAAGAAAGCATCGCCGCGAAGGCTTTCGATTTCATTCTCATAATCTTGAGAAATTTGCTTCAAACGCTCATCGTGCATTGTTTTTAAACTGGAAATCTCCTCATCCCTGCCAGTCAGCGTGGCTTTCATGTCGCTAATTGTGGCTTGTAGCTCAGTCTCAACTTTGCGGGCAGATTCTAGCTCCGTCTCTCGGTTGATGAGTTCGCTCTGGATCTCCGCTACCAGAGACTTTCCATCGTCTTTACTGGCTTCAGCACTCTTCGCGGCCGTCTCGGATGTAGCGAGCTTAGATTTAACATCTGCAATCTCATTTTCGAGATCGGATAGTCTGCTGGTCAACGCATCGCGCTCGGATGTGATGGCGTTGATAGTCGCTTCCAAGTCGGCTTTTGAAGCAGTCAGCTCATTCACCTGGTTCTGAAGATTTCGAATGTCTGCTTCGAATGCTAATCGCAAGTCTGCGTCTGTTTTGTCTGAGTCTGCTTTATCTGAAATGGAGGCTTGCAGCTTCTCAACTTGGGCAGTATAGTCTTGTTTGGTCTGCTCAAGTTGAGCCTCGGTTGCTTTGAGTTTCTCCTCATTCTCAACCTTGAGATTTTCAAGCTCTTTTTTCAGTGCCTCTAGAGCTTCTCCTCCTTCGTCTTTGATGCGAGCAGCCTCAATAAGCTCGTCATCTACAGTACGAAGTTTCTCGGCTTTCTCTTGTAGTTGAGCTTCCAGGTCACGTATGACGGCATCGTAATCCGGTTTCGGGCCATCTGGCGCGACCTTGGGCTCACTTGGAGATTCGCCCTCGTCTGATTGCTGGCCGCTGCTCTCTAGCTGCTGGCGAAGTTCAGTTACAGTGCTTTCGAAGGTGCCCAATTCCACCTTGAGAGATTCGATTTCTTTATCTCTCTCGGCTAGCTTGAACGTGAGCTCGTCGAGGACTTTGGGGCTGTCTGGATGCGCCTCAGATCGAACAGATGTTCTTGTTGATGGACGTGAAGCTCCAGTCACTATACCAGGTGCAGGTGTTCTTTTCCTCGCATCCGCAGCGGCATTCGACGAAACAGTACCCCGGGTCAATCCTGCCCGAATCGCTGCTACTGATTCGGATGCTCCCGTTCTAGTGCGCGAAGCAGCTGGTTTGGGGCTTGCAGCACCAACACCCACAGTAGATCGACGGCTCGCTATAGTGCTGCCAGTGACCCCGGTTTTCTTCTCTCCTGCGGCTCCCGCTGAGTTTGAGACTACTGTGCTCTCTCTTCGCGACGCAGACTTGGGTTTCTGGTCATCTTCACTTGCACCGACACTGGGGGCACTTCGATGACCTATCGTCGACGTGGAGGCGGTAGATCGGTGCGCCGAAGTGGACGAGCGAGTCGGCTGTTTGTTCAGAGTAGCCGCAGATCGCGCCGAGGCAGTTGTCCGAGCCACAGTCGAAGTAGCGGTTGCGCTGGCATAGCGGGGAGTGGCTCTTGCTGCTGGCGCAGAGGTAGAGCCAGCTTTATCGCTAGCGGGCGGTTCAGCCCCCTCAGCAGCTCGGTCTTTAGTGGGAGCACTGTTATTGTCGCTAGGCTGAGCAACAGCAGTTGACACCTCGCTCTCTGGCATTGTGAGACAGTTTGATATGTGTTACGACGTGCTGGCGGTACTGTAGGCCTTGTTAATACCACTCTGTCGAGAGACGGCGAGCTGGAGCAGGCATACCTCGTGGAAAACGCGATTCTCGTTAATCAATATGTTCTCTATATGGTCATGATATGTAGTCGTGGGTCGCGTAAAGCGTGGTTCAAAAAAAGCAAAAAAGTCGTCCCTGGTCTGTAATGACTACAAGAGCTTAGCGAACTTGAAGTCTTGAGTCTGGGAGGAGAAGAAAAATGAAAGAAGAAAAGAATGTTCTGCCGGCGGTCTATAAGATATCAGCTTGGGAGCAGAGCAGTAAAAGGGGCATGAACTACGGAGTAGCCCCACCGTCTCCCCCGCCGACCCCTCCAGGGTAAACTGCACTTACACCGATTTTATGCTGCAGGCAGCTGACGAGCAGTGTGTGGCATGGAGTCTTTAAGCGTCGGGGTAGTACCTACCGTGAGGTTTTATAGTGTTGCACAGGAGGTTTAAAATATATATACTAGCACTCACGAAAAGGGAGAGGAAAGATGGCTATCAGCTGCGCGTGCCTGATTCTATTGCTTACTTCTTCTAGATTCAATACGCGGGTGAGAGCCAGTGCACATGTATACCGCGATAAAAGCAGCTGATCCGATAGTGTGAGTAGCTGTGCTGCCAAATATGCGCCGAATAAAACAGCCGCCTCGCATGTGTATTTTAACGCTCACGCGGGGCCATCCTATTGATGCCTAGGTACCAAGTAAATACTACTAGTACTACCGGGTGCTGCTATTTCATACACCTACCTTAGGTACCTGCGTTTAATTCAAGCAAGCCATGGCTTGTTCTTAGCCATCCTGATACTGCTAGGTCACCCAAGTTGCTGAGCTATCTAGCGGCTGAGGTACTATTACAAGACGTTTCCAGCGGAATGCATATTGTACCCATGTGCTTATCGTAAGCGCCTCCATATTAGTCATAGCTCCACCGCCGAACTAAGCGTAGCAGGCAATAGGCATGAGTGACGCTGCAAGCAAACTCGGATCCAATACACACCTCCTACCAACCTATCCACGGCGCTTAGTCTTGGCTCAACTCCCACGGCGACATCCTGAGTGGACGGACTGATCGAACGTCGCTGATTCTCTGGCTCTTCTCGCCGGCTCCAAGGCTGCCCGGCCTGCCCCCGTTTCCATACCCAGATGCCGGAGTGACACCGTGCATCGCCAACAAGCGGCGCAAGAAGCGACGTGCGCCTGCTTGCTCTGCTGGATCCAAGAACCTCAACTGCCTCAACTGCCTCAACGACCTACGCTCAACCGTCTCCATCGCTCCTGCCTAGCTTGTGCTTGCCCTCCTGATGGCGTAGTTCTGGCATGGCAGAACAAACACCGGCAACCGACCACGAAGTGCGACTTCCCGCGTTCTCGCCAACGCCCACTGCCCCGACTACAGCGTCCGCCACTGCAAGGCCTGTACCGGCCACCGTCCAAAGCCAAAGGTATGAAGCTCTGAAGGCTGCCATAAGCTTTCGTCTACGGCGCACCGATAACCTCAACGCCTCAACACCTTGCCCCGGCCTTCCTCCCACACACTCCATCTGCGACAGCCTTGCCAGTTGAATTCCCACCCTGCCCTCCGGCGCCCTTCTACGCCTCCATCCTCCGCACATCAGTAGTGCTGCGGTTGATGAGGCACTTCCCATACATGCTAGGCCGGGTCATACATCCCAACCCACTGCCAGCCCTCTTAGCATAGACATCATCCCGTGTGCCTCATTCACCCGAATCCGAGGTCTGGCACTGCTGTTTACTTCATTTCGTGACAATCACCCTCTCTGCATAGCGTATACACGCACGCACCTGCCCTAGCACTGCCGCTGTCGAACGCCTGACAACACCAACCCAGCTACTTCATCCACAGCCCATCACGAACTGCTGCAGCAGGGATTTCTACTCTTCTCCCACTTTCCTCTCCCACACTTCCTTTCTACCCCAGGCACGAGCAAGCAAGCAGTCTCTTGGCCAAATTCTCATGTCTCCCAGAATAACCAGGTCCTCTGCCCGCCAAGCAGCGAGCCAGGCGGCTCGAGCTTCTGCTGCATCATCTGCTTCCACCAACACGCTGCCAGATATTTCGCCTTCTACTGCTCCATCGTTGTCGTTATCCCGGAAGCGAAAAGTTTCGAGCGCTGAGAGAAGCCCCGCGACTGGATCACAACCTAGCTCTTCGGTTCGACGGTCCAAGAGACAAAAGATTCCTGAAGCTGCTGTTCCACCATTGGATACTGCAAATACTCTACCTCACCCAACCTCGCCGCGGAAAGGGAAAGTCTTAGTGGATATGGACGGCACCGAGTTAGTTGGAAAGACTGTGTCCGTTGGAAATGGTGTTAATATTCACAACAGGATACCTGACATCCCCGTCACCATGGACACATCACCTAGTTCTAATGTTGCCAGTCGAAGATCGGCTCGGACCAAAAGGAGCTCTACACAGTCCCAAGGTCAGTCCTTGATCCATCTGATAGACGTCTTATCCATGGGATGCAATTACTGACTGTTATATGCAGCCACTACCTCCTCAGTGTCGCTTAATCAAGACCCCCAGCATTTCACAGGTAACAGCTCTGACCAAGATACTACCATGGGTGGTATGGGCGAACCCAGAGTTCAAGCCTCTTCGTCTTCACCCCAGAAGGGAGATACACTCGCTAGAAACAGCACAGGTGATAGCCCGATAGATGACGATTTGAGCAGAGGTGGCGGCGCAAATCGCACTGAACACCCCCCGTACAATGACGGGAACGAGGACGAGGACGAGGACGAGGACGACGAAGACGAAGACGACGAAGACGACGAGAACGACGATGATCCCTTCGGAGCATATGGCGGCCCAGGAGATCATGATTCCGGACTTTCCAGTACTTTGCGAGCACTCACTGGCATTATGACTGGGCTGTCAAGTCGGTTACGAGAACTTCTCGGCGGCCTGCGGAGTGACGATTCGTCTGTCCAGGTGATTGCCTTACAGGAGCTGTCCGAAATATTCCTGGTGTCTAACGAAGACAACTTGTCGGGCCATTTTTCACCTGATGCGTTCGTTAAGGAGCTTGTTCAACTAATGGGCAAGGAAGAGAGCCCCGAGATCATGCTCCTAGCCTGCCGTTGTCTTGCGAACCTTATGGAGGCCCTACCCGCTAGCATTGCCAATGTTGTGTATGGAAATGCCGTCCCCGTTCTCTGTCAGAAGCTGCTTGAGATTTCGTTCATCGACCTGGCAGAACAGGCTCTTAGTACGCTTGAGAGAATATCCACCGAGTACCCGTCTAGCATTGTCCGAGAAGGGGGGCTCACAGCATGCTTATCATATCTCGACTTCTTTGCAACCAGCACTCAGCGAACAGCGGTGACTACAGCAGCCAATTGCTGTCGGAATATCCCCGATGACTCATTTCCTGTCGTCAAGGATGTCATGCCAACCCTGCTCAATGTCCTCAACAGCAATGACCAACGAGTTGTGGAGCAGGCTTCCTTGTGTGTCTCAGGGATCGTCGAAAGCTTCAAGTATCACCCGTCGAAGCTCGAAGAGTTAATCAGTGTTGATCTGCTGCGCGCGATATTACGTCTCCTTGTCCCAGGGACTACGAATCTCATTGGCCCCAACATCCATACTCAGTTTCTCCGCGTATTAGCATTCACTGCTAGGGCAAGCGCCAGGCTCTCCTCTGAGCTCTTCAAGTTAAATGTTGTCGAGACACTCTATCAAATTTTGACGGGAGTTTCTCCTCCTACGGGCACTGAAGATGTAGCATCTAAGCTGGACAGTGTCATCATTATGCAGGCGCTTATCCACCGGCCTCGCGAGCAAATTGTGGAAGCCCTCAATGTCATATGTGAGCTGCTTCCAGACTTGCCTCGTAATGCAGGAATTGCCGTGGGAGACTTTATGGAACTGCATGATGCGATTGAGCCGATTGCACCGTCATCTTTGGGCAGTAGATGCGAGCCGGGCCCCAACGACCGCCGACTTGAACTTTTGGAAGACTGCAAAGACCAAGTTCGCCGTTTCGTGCTCATCATTTTCCCAACCTTAACAGATGCTTTCTCCAGCACAATCAATCTGAGTGTACGCCAGAAAGTATTGACTGCTCAGATAAAGATGCTCTCCAATTTGGACCAGAATCTTCTGGCCGAGGCACTAGCACCAGTGCCTTATGCCTCCTTTCTGGCTTCTATTTTATCACAGCAAGATCACCCTTCCCTGGTTATTCTAGGCCTCCAAGCAACAGAATTGCTCCTCACACGCCTTGGTAGCGTTTACCGATACCAACTTTATCGCGAAGGCGTGATCCTTGAGATTCAGAAACTAGCAGTCGACGACAGCCAGCCTGGCACTAAGGAAGATTCCAAGTTGAGGAACACGTCCCGACGACCCAGTCTGCCCGATGCTGGCGATAGTAGCACGCCTTCATCAGACCATGAGTCAGAAGACAACGATAACGAAGACGAAGAAGCAGAAGATGAGGGCGAAGGTGCTGCTCACGACCACCACTCTTCTGGCGGCGACGAAGAAGATGTTGATAATGAGCTTAATGCGAGTGACGTATCACCTGCTAGTTCTCGCGGATCTTCGATGTCGCTGGATGCCACGTCTCTTCCCTATGTTTCCAATATCCAACTAATGAAGTCCCGTATTGTCACCATTGCAAAGAAATTTCTAGAAGTCCACGAAAAAGACGGCCACGGTCAGGTCATGCGAACGCAAACTACGCAGATACTGCAAACTTTATCCCAGCTAGCAGAGGAACTCGAGGCCTTTTACTTGGCCCGTACGTCAAAACATTCATCTCCGGAAACTGGACGGACACTTTTCTCCAAGCTCTCAAGCTACTTTGATACCGACATCCTGGAAAGCATTACCAGTGCAGAACTTCTAGCGTCTGGTATAGTGAGAGTCCTTCTTGCAATTTTTAGCAATCCTGACGAAACACTGGCGCACGCTGCCCAAGCAAGCTTTTTGGAAGTATTCATGAATCCCGCGGTGAAGCCCAAGCCCAGAACTGGCGTTACGGAATCACAAGCAACACCATTCGGCGTATTAATTCATAAATTACAAGATTTGCTCAGTAGGTCAGAGCATTTTGAAGTCATTACTGTTCACCAAAACAGCTTTGATGGTAATCGCAGCAGCCCCGCGTCTATGCTGGGTAAGCAGATCAAGCTCAGACTGGTTGCAGATGATGAGCTATCGATTCCCCGATCTTACCGAAATATAATGGTTTCCATTCATGCAATTGCCACCTTCAAGTCCCTTGATGATTATCTTCGTCCACGAATTAGTCTGGCGGAGCGGCCAAGGATCTCCCGAAGAGATGGACTCTCCAGAGCCCTTGCGGCTATAGCTAACTCTAGCATATCGCAAAACTTCGCTGCAGGCGCCAGTTTAACTGGGCAACCTCCTAGTTTAACTGGATCTACCACGCAGCCTCCTTTGCCTCTAATGTCAGGATCCTCGGCCTCCCGGTTTTCCGGCGGAGCCAACAGCAAGCTATCATCTCATCAGGGAGAGACAGCCAACTCGCAGCCTGCCGGGCCATCTACCGATAAAGGGTCACTACGTCGCTCTTCACGGCTTTTTAGGTCATCCGCAGAAATACCAAATCCCTCAACTCGTCCTCCTGATGAAGACAAGGCTCCACAGCCTACTCTGGAGTGTGCAGATGAGAAACAGCTCACTGACGATGATGACGACGAAGCTGGCGACAGTACTGCTCTTGACGCGATTGTTGGCGAGCTTGATGAAGATATGGAAGGAAGGGGAGATCCGGATCCATCAGCCGTAAATCTCGAAGTTGCCTCTGGAAGTATCATCACTCGAAAAGAGGACGGCACGAGAGTCCCGACACCGACTGGATCAAGATTCAAGGACTATGGCTCGTATAAGCACAGCAGCCCGGCAGCATCTCATTCTTCATCTCGACAGCCCTCATACTCCTCTATACTCCAGTCTGCCCCTCAAGATTGGTATATTGAGTTCACGCTGGATGATAAAGTTATTCCAAATGAGACAACCATATATCGTGCTGTTCATATGTCGACGTCCTCGTCAGGTGACCACAACAATAAAAACATTTGGTCGTCCACACACCCCATCAAGTTTCGAAGAGTCTCTGGACAGCCTCCAGCAGAGTCTAGACCGACCAACTTCAATATTGAGACTGATGGAGAAGTAGAGAATGGAATTTCGGCATCACTAGCGAAGCACCCAATAACTGCCTCTATCCTGCAGCTTCTCAACATCCTTCACGACCTCAATGCCAACATAGAAGATGTTTTGATTGAGAACAGGAATAGTATGGTTGGCCTCCGGGTTGAGCAATTGTCTCAGTTCGTGAATACAAAGCTTACGGCTAAGCTCAATCGCCAATTAGAGGAGCCATTAATCGTTGCGAGCAGCTGCTTGCCGAGTTGGTCTGAAGATTTAGCACGCCTCTACCCTTTCCTGTTCCCCTTCGAGACTCGGCATCTCTTTCTCCAGTCAACATCATTCGGATATGCCCGGTCAATGGCTCGTTGGCAGAATGCACAGTCGACGGATGATAATCGACGAGATCGCTCCAATGAACGGCCCTTCTTAGGCCGACTTCAGAGGCAGAAAGTCCGCATCTCCCGACTCAAGATCCTCGAGTCAGCGTTGAAAGTGATGGAGCTATATGGCGCCTCCCAGAGTATATTGGAAGTCGAATATTTTGAAGAAGTTGGCACTGGCTTAGGGCCGACGCTCGAATTCTACTCTACCGTATCAAAAGAGTTTTCCAAAAAGAAGCTCAAACTTTGGCGAGAAGTCGACTCTGCCGGGTCAGATGAGTTTGTAATGGGCCAGACGGGGCTATTTCCCCGGCCGCTCAGCCCCGAAGAGGCGACAACGCCAAATGGAGAGCGCATTCTTCATTTATTCAAGGCTCTCGGCAAATTTGTGGCCCGATCAATGATTGATTCTCGCATCATTGATCTCCACTTCAATCCGATATTTTTCAGAATCGGAGATGCCTCCTTGACTGGTGTCAAGCCCTCTTTGGGAGCGGTAAAGATTGTTGACCCAGGTCTTGCTCGCTCTTTGAAAACAATCAAGAAGTTTGTGTTGGCTAAGAAAGAGATTGATGAAAACCCAAATCTCACACCAGCACAAAAAGTGGCTGATACAGAGGCAATCATGATCGACAATGTGAGGTTAGAGGATTTCTGTCTCGATTTTACGTTGCCTGGCTACCCCGAAATTGAACTCGACGAGCATGGTTCTTCCAAGCGAGTTACTATAGAGAACGTTGATACCTACTTGGAAAAAGTCATTGATATGACTCTGGGGACTGGTGTCAAACGCCAAATTGATGCTTTCCGTACTGGCTTCTCGCAGGTGTTCCCATATACTGCACTGAGAGCTTTCACCCCAGACGAATTAGTTTCGCTGTTTGGACAAGTAGAAGAAGACTGGAGCCTTGAGAGTGAGTACCTGCATTATTAGGCATTACTAAGAGGAGAATCACTGACACGAGATATTTAGCTCTTATGGATTCTATCAAGGCGGACCATGGCTTCAACATGGACAGTCGAAGCGTGAAGAACCTACTGCAGGCGATGAGCGAGCTGGATCTCAAACAGCGACGAGATTTCCTACAATTCACCACTGGTAGTCCAAAGCTTCCTATTGGCGGTAAGTGTTTTACATTCCAGGTTAGATCATTGACCAGGAGGCTGACAGTATACCAGGGTTTAAAAGTTTAACTCCGATGTTTACCGTTGTTTGTAAACCAAGCGAGCCTCCGTACACCTCTGACGCCTATCTACCAAGCGTCATGACGTGCGTGAACTATCTGAAACTTCCAGACTATACGACGATGGACATCCTGAAGAAACAGCTGTATACTGCAATCAGGGAAGGACAAGGAGCTTTCCATTTGTCATGAGTTGCTGAAATCAGGACCATTACATCAATGGTAGTATGGCATGCGGGCCAAAAAAAAAAACGTAGCTAGACAAAAGATTCTTTTAATCTTAAAATAGTATATATTCGATGGAGAATGATAAATTTAGCACACCACTTGGGTGAATATATTCTAACACGGAAGACGAATTTACGTTGCGGCACGGTTATCATTGAACGTATAAGCCAAGTAAATTGTCCAATCAGTATCCTCAGCGTGCTATCCTCCTTTATGGCAAGACATGGAAGCATTGAGGACAATTGAGCTCACCGATGGATGAATGCTGGAGCTGTTGTTAATTACGTTCGAGAATTCTTCACGGCCTCATGAGAACGTAGAGCTGGCTTTGCCGCTACTAAGTCTCCATGATAAGGCTCCATGCTAGACTGTATATATCAATCATAGTTGCTTCTACGGAAAGGCTTTCAAGATGCTAAGGGTAATTTAGAATGATTCAAGCAGAGATAATAAATAGTCCAAGTCTAGCTTCTTGGTCATTATCTTCTTCTTTCAGCGCTCCCATGGTATTAGAATTTATCGCTAATCAAACTGTCGGAGAGCATTTGACTCTTTGTCAAAAGCGGAGATGAGCCAAAGACAGCATTGGCCGGGAGTGTGGCTGTAGAGCTCCCATGGTCCTGTAAGTTTAAGCTGCTTGGCCGGCCAGTAGCATCACGGTCACGGATGTAAGTAATATCAGCTTTGGCTGACTGCAGAGTGGTAGCTGAACCAGTCGGGTCCTCATGGCTGGATGTCGAGGAATTTGATGATACTTCAAATTTATCGTCTTTTTGCGATTCATCTTGGCCAAAAGTGGCGCATCGCAGATTCCACAGGAGCTGGCCCGCTATCGCTGGAGGGAGATAAATGTATCGTCGGACCTCGCTATGAACCCATCCTTCTTCTTGCATATCGCGCTCTTCTAAGGCGTTGTTGAGCTGATAAACTTGGTCAATCGGGTAATCCCAACCATGACCGCGATGCCTGCCAGGCTGTATACAGGCCATGTAGCGTAATATACCGTGGCTGAAAAGCCAGAACCGCTGGACTTCTTCAGGCACTCGATAAGCAAGATGGACAAATGTCTCAGAGCCGCTAATGATGGGACGAAGTGCTTCAGATGGCGTGGGAAGGAGGATATCCGTACGCGCGGATACTGGAGCGAGAGACTGGAGAATTTGAAGTGGTACACGCTGAGACTCAAAGATCTGACCCTGACTGGGTAATTGTGTATGTGCTGGACCGTGGTGGTTATTATGCCCTTGGCTGAGATCAGTTTGATCACCGGGGCCAACTTGAGTCGTTTGTGATGATGGCAATGAAAAGGAAGGAGTCTGTGGTATTGCAATAGGCTGGCTTTGAGTGTTTCCCATCGGAAAGTCATGTTTGTCATTCGCAATTCCATCAGATGGCGCCAAGGCGAGCGAGTTCTGAGACGCCGTCAGCTGGCATTTGTTTGGTGAACTCTCAGGAGTTAGTACTGGGTCCTCCAAAGAAGCCATTTCCTCCATGATAAGTTGAGTCTCGTGGCCGACGCAGAGCATTTCTTGGTGTATTAGCCCGTTGAAATCTCTCGGCTGCAGCTCTTCATTGTCTTCTTCGTCCGAGTCTGGAATTTCCCGGTCATCCGCTTCCACAGCTGCAAAACGGACATGTGCTGATAACGATGCGCCGTATTCTTGAGAGCTCTGAGTGCTTTTCATTTCCTCCAGATTTCTGTTCAGGTGCGCACGGCGCCGTGGAGAATCTCTCACTACATCCATAGAATCGGCCCATGTCACAGATCGGGGAGGCATCGCAACAACTTCCCGTACATGTTCAGGCCAACGTGGAGGAGAGATGTTAGTTCCGGCTGGTGCATCGTCATCGTCATCGTCATCGTCAGAGCCGTCGTAAGTTGAGCCACAAGAATCTTGAATAATGATGGCATCTTCTCCTGACGCCAGCTCTGGTGGCTCCTTTGTCAACAGAGCTTCGGATTCCCGTTGCAGAACGGTCGAGCCAGTCTTGTTGCAAATTGTCCCGTCTTCATCTGAGGCATCGTCATCCAACAAGATGACGTCTTCACCAAACGACGAGACGAAACTCATCTGCGTCAATGTCTGCTGCTTCAACGATGGGCCTTTTCGCTCCGACGACGAATTTTCTCGTTTCAACGACGAGCTCTCTCGCTTCTGGACCCCATTGCTCGGGCCCCGAACTTTCCTGCGCCGCGTAGGGAAACGGATCTGCTTGGTAGAGCCCGTCGAGCGATATTCCCGACTTTTTCGGGCAGTTCCGCTAGAGCAAGGCTCGGGGGGCATCGTTATCGTCAGAAAAAGAAGAAGAAGAGGAAGAAGCATAGAATATTGCTAAGCAATGTATGAATTGAGATGGAGAGATCAGTGAGAGCATTCAGTCGTAACTCATGCATGCATCCGCCAAACACAGACGCTTTGTGACCAGATTTTTTGCGGAGAAACTGTAACCAAAGCAACTCCCAAAATCGGCCCTCTGATACTTCCAAGACATGAGCAGCGTCATTAGATATCATTGAAATGACGGGCGTGTGTGAACTGGATGCAGCGTGGCCCTCACCCAAGTCTCATCCGCCGGTTGTGTATGCTATAATGCCATGGATTCCAAAAGTATGGCGTTGATGGAAGTGAAGTGGAAAGAAAGTGCAAGAGAGAAAGCGACTATCATAAAGCCGTCAAGGTAAGCTTTTGTTACTTGGTTTGTCCCTCGAATCTTGGTAAATTGTATTTTCGCGATTATGTCGGTGCACGGCACGCTTAGACGCATCAGATTGATTTTGAATGAGCAGCGGGCGTTTTCGCGTTGATTCCCCGCAAAATTTCAAAGAGCTCAGGCACTCAGACCCACCATCAAAATGGGTTAGATGTCTCATGCAAGGTACAGAGTGCTACTGTATGTGCTCGATTCTTGATCTTTGTTTCAGCAGTTGTTATTATACTAAAAAGTTAACATATGCAATCCTTTTCAGTATTAATTAAAAATTATATCGAGCCCTATCCTATCCCACGAAGCAAGCCACTACTTTTTTTGGTGCCTCATGTCCCTTGATGCAGCGCGAGCTCTTTATATTCATGCCATCTATAACCACTTGTTTTCTTACGCCATCTATGTAGACCCATTTGCTTCGTCCCTATTTACTTACACACCACATGCCGTAAACAACTCAAGTCAAGGAAAGTAAGTAGCAACGCACCAAATTAACCTGTTGCTTTCTTTATAACCGTTCAGTATCATCAGTTCTTTTCAAATCTGTGAGGAAATCCCGTGTGACTTCAAAGCTCAGCCAGCTCGACGCCATGCTGGGAGCTACTTTGAGGAGATTGGGCACGATGCCCTTGTACAACCCTTTGACACCCTCTTGAAGGATAATGACACGGACTGCATCAGTGATGGATTTGTACTGGTATCCCATACCTGACATGGTATTGATCTGGAAGCGTCGCCGTAGTACGTCACTATGCGATTGTTTAGCATGAAATCAGGCGTGCAGCAAGAGGCAGAAAAGACAGCTGAGGCTACTTACAATGGATATGTGCAGGTTTGAGCAACTGCGCCTGAAATGGCACCCGCCAAAAGCTTGCGCACGGCACTGGGGTTCTTATCGCCTTCGGGCGTAAATGCCTGGCGGATTGACTCATACACCATAAAGTTGAGACCGACCTATAATGATTTCAAAGTCAGCATTTTATCACATAACCGGGGGTCTTGAGTAACAGTCAATGAAACCTACATAAGGAGCCACACCAGCAACAGTTGGGACAATGCCACGGTATAAAGCAGATACACCTCCTTCCGTCTTGTACATGGAACCCAAGGTTGCCCACATTCCTGGGAGTTTATCCGGCCGCGCTCCTAATTCTGCAAAGCTCGCTGACTGAATGGATAGCCGTGTTCGGACGATGTCGAGAGGATAAGTTAGGAAGACAGACGTTATTCCCGCCAGTCCACCGCAAATTAGGCGGGCAACGGGAGTGAGGTCAGTTCCTAAATATGGTTCGAAGAAGTTCTGAGCAAAATGTTAGCCCGGCTGATGTTCCATTTGGACGGCTGGTGCTGTCCATGCCAAATGGTCGAAATACCTTCTTGTAAAAGTTGTAACTGCTGAATTGCACAGCAGAATAAGGAACAATGCGTATACAGTTTGTTCCATTGCCTCGCATGAAGCCCCTCCAACCCTCTTCTCTCCACATTTTCCCCAATGCTTGACCAACTGACAACTTGTATGCATCTCGTCCAGCACTCTGTATCTGCATCAGGATTTTGAGTCTCTCCAGTGGCGATACTACCGTTCGGGAGACGGCGCCGGCTACACCTCCACCGCAAAAGGCGGCAACTATTGGTTGAGATATCGTGTCTCGAAACTGCATCGACCAATCGCTGCGAGCCGATGGTTTCATCGCGTCGGGGACTGACTATTTGAATGAATTAGTTGCTGAACATTTACGCATGGCGGCATTCTGTAAAGTGTTGCGTACGGCTGACATGATGGCGACAGAGGTAATTGAGCCAACGTTTGATTCAAAATCTTCGATTAAGTCTCAAGTTGAGGATCCAGAAGCATGCGATTTCGCTCTATGGCGGCAGCATTGGTCCACGACCACTCGGCGCTATCCGTCAATGTATATGGTTTAAAAAATCGTAATTGTTGCAGAGAAAGTTGCATTAAGGAGCGACTCGAGAATCGAAAGTGCATGTAGCATGCTCGTGAAACAAAGCGTCTCGAAACGGGTACGGTATCTATTGACGATGCATTCGCGAGGGCATTTGGCCGCAGAAACGCTTGGCTAGCTGTCGCCTTTTCTTCGACCTCGACGGATTGGGTAGCACCAACAGGTAGTATTAATATAATATATATAAGCAAGTTTTAGAAATGGTATCTCTAGGCGACAGCAACGACCCCTGTCCAAGCCCTAGCTAGAGGAAATTCCGAATTGAAGCAAACAAAAGTGTAACTGCAAAGGTTCGTCAACTATGATTATGCGTTGGCGCTTGTGTGCCTGTGTGCTTTGCTTCGGGTTATCATCGGCGCCTGTTCTGATGGTTTTTAGTGGCTTTGGAATAGGAGTACTCCATCTGGAGTACTCCGTATGGAACCCAATCGTAATATTACTGGGTATTAGCGGCAAGGAGGCCAGACCAGATGCTCAGAAGATGACGAGTAGAAGTGCCAATAAAAGACCCCACCAATCGATTGGCTTACCTAAAAACTTAGTCATTTCTTCATCTACATGTAGGTCCAGCAGAAAGTAGGTCTAGAAAGAAGAAAGATAGGATGAATTAAAATGCTATGAATATGATAGAGCCTTATAGAGTATTCCGCGAATAAACGTCGCCGTCGAGTGCATTGTATTGTGGCTCAGGGTAGATCCTGAAAAATCTCACAGTGGCTTGTAGCTTGAGCTGCTAGCCTTGTACCAGCTGCGGATTATACACCACCACAGCGTGTGCGCCAGGCGCGTTGGCCAGCTCTTTATTTTCATCACACCACGACCGACCGCATTGGCAGCCACACATCACAGCTAATATCCCGAATCTGCCTCCATCATTTACTCGCCGCGATCATCTTATCTGTTCCCAATGTCGCGCAAGCGCAGCGCATCCGTCATTTCCGTTGATTCGGACACAAAACGGCCTAAGCATGCGACCCCAGAAGACGAGCCTTCCGGCGCACAGCAACTTGAAACGACCCAAAACCAAACAGAGTGGGATTCCTCCTCAGAATTGGTAGATGAAGAGTCTTTTTCAGCAGTGCCTTCTCTATCACCAACCCTACATCATATTGCCCGCTGCGGTATCCAGCGTTCTATCGCCATGGTCCTGGCGCATGATGGATTTCAGTCGGCCAGTCCCGAGGCGCTTGAGAGCTTCACAGGAGTAGTTGAGACGTGTAGGCATTCAATGTATCTCTATCGTCGTTTCTATCTTTGAAGCTAACGTCTCTAATTCAATAGATTTAAGATCCATCATCGAAGAAGTCAAGCGATTCGCAATATCATCACGTCGCGAGGCTCCCATCCCGTCGGATTTTGAACTCATGCTCAGACACCATAACTTGACCCTTTCCTCTCTCAAACCGCACATCAAGGGCCGGCTCAGCAACCAAGATACGATTAATCGCAGTGAGAACCTTATAACCATCGATGACACATTCAACTCACTCCCTCTTCTCGGCGAAGAGCTCAGCGGCCAACCAGACAAAGAGAGCAAAGCCTTTATACCGCCCTCCTTTCCTGGATTTCCGAGCACACACACCTACAGATTTACCCCGCAAGAAGATAGAAGGACGCGCGATTCTAAGCAGATCAGAGAAGACGCGGCCAAGAGCGCGCAGCTCGGCGAAGATGCATTGCGCAGGTTGGTTCGGGCTTCGAAAATGCGCAAACAAAAAGAAGTCAAGTCGTTGGTCGAGCGCGATAGCCAGGGCAAGGAGCGCTTCCGATTATGGGAGTCAACAATGAAACGATTCATGGGGGGCGACCGGTTCAGAGAGCACGCTGATAAGGTGGAAATTGCAGACCACAGCATGCTTGTCAATGCTGATGCCAAATTCTCGCGAAGAGAGCTATCTCGCCTAGGCAAGAAGTCCAATGCATTATAACACATATTCCAATGTCAGCGGCTAAGCCACTATCTCTCTCTATCCACTGATCAACCAATGGATGACTTTTCATGTTTGCGCATCGCTAGTTTTAGCACCCATCATTATACTTATACCCGAAGCGTCATTCCAGCTTAGCTTCACATGGCAAAAATCAAAAAGATATGGATAGAGAATGGATACAAATACAAGGGGGAAAGTTGTTTCACGATACATTCATTAATCAACAACGTGGCTTGAACAGTATGAAATTGTAGTATTCCTTTTTCCCTTAGTACTTAGTAGAAACAGCAGTTAAGAACCATCTTCTATATTAGAAGCGAATTTTGTGTCCAGTACCTTTTTTTAGTATTTCTGTCACACACACTGTTGCCCTAATCTCAGTTACAGTTTGAGGAAGAAGCTAACTATGTGATGCCCTATATTCCACCACGTCCCAGCCAAGCTTCCCCATCTCTCCCTACCTATCCCGGCAACATTTATGCTCGGGACATGACGCCCCAAGCACGGATGATGTTGTCAGTGTAACCAGCGAACAGGGTCTGGCCGTCAGCGGACCAGGCCAAGCTGATACACTCGGGCTCCCGGCTCTTCTTGCCAACGGAGGTGAACTCAGGCTTCAGCTCATCAACCTTGCTCTTCTTCTCAAGGTCGAAGATGATGATGCTGCTGGCGGTGGCGGCGCACAGCCAGTATCGGTTAGGAGAGAAGACGAGGGCGTGGATCTCGTCGTTGGCGTTGAGGGAGTACAGGTGCTTGGATTCGTTCAGGTCCCAGAGCATGGTGGTACCGTCCTTGCCACCAGAGGCGCAAAGAGAGCCATCAGGAGAGATGGTGACGGTGTTGATGTAACCGGTGTGGCCGATGTGGTCGGTCTGCAGCTTGCAGGTAGAGAGCTCCCAAACCTGGAATTTTGTTAAAACCCAAACTCCATGTAAAGTTGCAAACAGCATCAGGGGGCATGTTGAATAACAAAAAAAAGGAAAACCAAATTCAGGGCAATAGGTTATGTTTGTCTCATTGCCATTTCTGGCTCTGAAGTAGCAAATACTTGAAAGTTGCAATACATCATAAAGTGGTGCGCATCGTAAAAAGAAGAGATATAGGGCAAAATTGAGAGGAATTCGTACCTTGACCAGCTTGTCCCAACCAGAGGAGACAATGACGGGGTTCTGAGGGTTGGGGCTGAATCGGACGCAAGAAGCCCACTCAGTGTGGCCCTTGTCGGTGATGGTGTACTTGCAGTCACCGAGGGTGTTCCACAGCTTGATAGTGCGGTCACGAGAGCCAGAGACGATCTGTCGGTTGTCGGCGGAGAAGGAGACGGAGAGAACGTCGTTGGTGTGGCCGACGAATCTTCGGGTGGTGGTGCCGGTGGCGAGCTCCCACAGACGGAGGGTCTTGTCCCAAGAAGCAGACAGGGCGTAAGCACCGTCAGAGGAGATAACCTAACCAATCAACTGCAATCAGCCCCGAGAACTCTTTCTTCGTGGTATAATCAACGGAATTCGAGTGGACGTACACAGTCGGACACAATGTGGGAGTGACCGTGGAGAGATCGCTTGGGGTAGCCGTACTGGGTCTCGTCGCGGGTGAGGTTCCAGATGATCAGGGTCTTGTCTCGGCTGGAAGACAGGAGCATGTTGGGGCTGTTTCCTTGTTAGTTTTCAAGGTCGATTGCGTTCGCGATAGGTAAAATCCCAGCATACTTCTCCATTGAAGTGGCCAAGCTGGTAACCCAGCCATTCTGTATCAAATGTCAGTCTCACTCCGAACCATGAGAGAGGGCAGCGATGGGGAGGAGTAATCGTACGTGGCCCTCGAGGGTACCCTTCAGGATCAGTTGTTCAGCCATTTTGGTACAGCCTCGCCCGCAAAGATATCAGAGAGATGGGTGAGAGGAGAGAAATTTAGCTGAGAAGACCACTTCGCTTCTGCAAAAGGTCAGCACCGGATGTTAAGCTCTCCAAGTTGGGGCTGAACGAAATTGTGAATTTTTTGTGTGGGCGAAAAATTAGGGCCGAGCGATGCGATTGGCCAATACCGATGACTAAGATCAGAATTTGGCAATCAGTTCGTTATCAAACTAGCACTTTGGGCTAGCATGGGCGGGCTCCAAAAAAGTTACGAGCATCGGCATAGTGGGGTGAGTAAGAGTGAAAAGATGGACATCCTAAGGAGAGTGCCTGAGTGCAGATGCCCTGTTTGGACATATGTAGACAGCCACTGACTTTGTTTTGAGTTTAAGCTCTTCTGTCTTCTCCCTTGGCTCTTGCTTTCTGTCTGTAGTTGACACATGGAGGCAATCGATTTCGTGAAATCTAATCTCTACTGAGTACAGCCAACTCTTTCTCAGATTTCGCTTTCCCATATAAGAGCATCGACGATCAAAGATTGACTATGACAGCAAGGACCGCCCGCTGCCTTAGACTTCATCATAATATCAGAGCTCAGGAGAGGCCTCAGAACCTCTTCAAGATTGCTTGATGCTACACAAGGTATTTATTGATACAGAACGTAGCCTTGTTGGATACTAGACGCTGGCATCTAGCTACCAAATGCATAACTCTACTGGCGTTTATCTAGTATAAGAAACTCTCCGACGCCGGTTGACTTTGTGATCTATCTGAACATGGTTTAATATATGATATAATGAGAAAGAAGAAAGAATGCTGTCGGCCGTCATTGGACTTTTTGGTGACTATCTCACTCACGCAGTTCCTGATGTGAATTTCTTCATAGGTGGTACGAATCACTTGCCTTCTGGATACATAACAGGGTACTTAAACCAAAAAGCTTGCGTTCATCCCTCGCTTATGTCGCTTAAGAGGCGAAAATGGTTTGGAGCCGCTTCCCGAGTTGAAGGCACTTCCCGCGGCTGACTTTAGTTTCCTGGCCCGGCCAGGTTGTGCCTCTGTGGGCTGGGCTACCTCACCGGTTTCATCTTCTTCTATTATGGTATTAGCCTTGTTTATCAGCTTTCTCCTCCTCTTCTTTTGCTCAAGGTCTACGCCACGGTCAGTAGTGGTAGTAGACTCATGAAGCTTGATTCGTTTGTGGAGAGATGTTTCTTTAGAGTCGGCTGCTTTCGATGTTCCTTCGCCCTTTGTTTCTTCGGGTTTTTCGTCTCCCGTGTCCTGACTGGGAGCTGCGGGCTTGGCTGTGGGTACTTCGACTGATGTTGCTTCTGTTGCCTTTGGCTGGGATTGCGTTTCAGAAGGCTTGGATCCCAATTTTTCCCGAGGTCTTAAAGGCGTAGAAGCTACCAGTCCTGTAGCCGGTGCTGCCTTGGATCGAGCCTCAGTTTTCTTTGTTGCCCGGAGTGGTGATGGGTCGTCACCCTCTTGTAAAAGTATGTCGTCAAATGTTAAACTGGGGCGCCCAGTAGTTCCACCAGTACCCTTTATCTTATTGAGTAGTGGTGTGATTGAAAATGTTGATTTTTCTCCAATCTTCGCTTGCTCTGTTGTACGCTTCCTGGTCACTCTCTTGCGGGGCATCTTCTCTTTTTCAACAGGTGGAGATTGGTCTTTATCATGAGATTTTGTTGTGACATCTTGGGTAGAATCAAGACCATCGCCTGATCTATCTTTCAAGCCAGAATGTGAAGCCAGCCGTAGCTCTCGTAGCTCTGTTTGTGCGTCTTTCAATTTCTTCTCTAGTGTCGATATTTTTCCCTCCAGCTTATTGTTTTGGCGCTCGGATTCGTAAAGTTGCTTCTGATGGTTCAATTTCATCCTTTCGCGATGCCGTTCTTCCTCCGTTAGTCGTTCGGTTGATTTATCTAGCATCGATTGCAGCCTAACCACTTCTTCCTTTGTGTCGTCTGAGTTGTTCGAGTTTGACTGTGCTTTACTCGCAGGCTCTTGTGTCAACTGTTCTTGCTGATGCGGTTTCGATTCCGATTTCTCGTCATCCGCCACCCCTAGCCGCAGAAGCTTTACTTCTGATCGCAATTCTCGAAGCTCTGTTGTAAGTGCATCATTCTCTTCTGCAGTCGTGCTGGAGCTTTCTGTAGTCACTGCACTCGGTTCTGTCCTCGTCTTTGACCTCTTAGTAGATGTATTGTGGTATTTCTTGGAGTTGGAAATAACCTACGGCCTCAATTGGATTCTCCTTCATCTGCTCATCTTCGGATGTATTCTGCGATTTGACCTCGTCAAGCTTGACGCGTAGTCTATCGTTCCTCCTTGACAGAATTTTTATTTCGTCATCCTTGGCGGCGCATCTATCCTGCAGCTGGGTGTTTTCATCTTGAAGCAGGAATATTCGAAGCTGTAACCGGCGAGATTCTTCGTCTCGGGTAATGAGGTCGGTTTCGTGACGGCTTTTTTGATATTGGAGATCAAGCTCATGGAGACGCGTCGTCCGCTAGATGCATAACATAAGCACAATGTCAAAGACAAGATAGCGCTGGCTTAGAAGGGGATGGCTACCTCAATTGAGAGGTCACTCATGGCTGTCGTATCATCCAAGCGCTTATGGAACTGAGGCTATACGGGGAAAAAACGATGTTAATAGAGAAAAAAGCTACGGAGTAAATCTGTCGATTATTGCGTACTTCTAGATGGTATGGTGCTCGATGTTCTAGGTATTTGCCCAAGGCGTCTGACATAGAAAGTGTTGATAAGTCGATGTTGGACTAGAACTTTTAGCGCCTAGCGTGCTAACATGCGCTCGAGCGAGATCTGGGAGGTATTGAGTACTTAAAAGGCAGCTAGATTCTACGATCGATGCGCCAACTTCGGAGTAGCTTGACAGGCAGTTGAATCAACTTGGAAATGCTGCGCTAGCCCTTTGTAGTCAAGCCCCGCGCCATGCCTCGTAGCTCGAATTAGGTAATCGCGAAAACGAGAACACCTTGATGACAGCACAGGAACACCTGGCAGCTTAGTTGGCGGCTTGGGCTAGTTGTAGCAACATCAGCTGCGTCTATACGGACAGCTACAAACTACCGCGAAGATGCGTATTTTCCAATCAATTCTTCCTCTGTGCCTGCTGTTCGCTGGGGGCTTCGCGAAGAAAGACTCATACGATGAATTTCGTCAGCTATCCCAGCGCTCTTCGCCTTTGAAGCTGAATGATGCCACCTATTCTTCTTTAACAGCTGCTCCAAGAAATCATAGTGTGGCTGTCCTCCTCACGGCTTTGGAAACCAGGTTCGGCTGCCAGCTTTGCCAAGAATTTGCGCCTGAATGGGAGGTTCTCGGACGAAGTTGGACTCGAGGCGACAAAGCCGGCGAGTCGCGACTCATCTTTGGTACGCTGGATTTCGCTGATGGTCGAGAGACCTTTATCTCGGTACGTGGAGAGTATCTCGATCCAGACAAGAGTAATTGTTCCATGGGAAAGCTAATGCATCAATCCATCTAACAGCTTGGCCTCCAAACCGCCCCGGTGCTCCTCCTCTTCAACCCGACTATTGGACCCCATGCTGCTGCCTCTCCGGAGCCTGTTCGATACGATTTCACGGCAGGGTAAGTCATGATGCGAATCTCTCCGTTATTAGTAGTGCATTCGATATTGACCAATTCCAGGCCTTCCGCAGCTGAGCAAGTTCATTCCTGGATCTCTCGGCAGCTTCCCAATAGACCACACCCACCTGTGCAACGACCCTTCAACTGGCTTCGATGGGCCTCCACCGTGACCATTGTCCTCGGCGTCGGCACTGCGTTGGCCAGTGCGTCTGCTTATGTGCTGCCTGTCATTCAAAACCGCAACATTTGGGCTTCCATCAGCCTGATTGCCATTCTCCTCTTTATTAGTGGTCATATGTTCAACCACATTCGGAAAGTTCCATACATTGTTGGAGATGGCCATGGCGGCGTCAGCTATATCGCAGGAGGCTTCCAGAACCAGCTTGGATTGGAAACCCAGATCGTGGCTGCTATATGTAAGACAAAGTTCTTTCACGCCAATAAATGAAACTAACGCATTTGACAGACGGTGTCCTCTCATTCTGTGCCATTACCTTGGCTGTCAAGGTTCCTCGCATGGCCGATGCCAAAACTCAGCAGGTCGCGGTTGTCGTTTGGAGCGTTATACTATTCCTGGTATACAGCTTTCTCCTAAGCGTCTTCCGCGTCAAGAACTCTGGCTACCCATTCTCCTTGCCTCCTTTCATGTAAGTGGGGTGTAACAAGACATAGCAAGGCGAAAATTTATACGATTAGCTAGGGCCTAATTGATAAATTGCTGCGCTTGCTGTGCAGATGCCAATGTCTGAGAGGATGGATCGTCGATATCATGGCAACTACTAGTTAGTAGATGAGGGCGATGCATTGGGTATAGCTACTGGCAGTATAAGCTACGATGGACAATCGCAATCTAGCTCTACTGATGTAGTGGAAGTAGTCTATGGCCGGTGTCGTTGTAAATATAAACAAGTTGAGATGAGGTCTTTCTCGTCGAGACGCCGCAATCGTAAAGAGAAACAAAAAACTTTGTCCAGCAATACCAACCAATATGCGAGTGCGATCGACCCGTGGGTCCAAATGCATGTCGCATCTGCTTCACATGCAACTTGATCGCTGTCCAGTTGGCGCATTGTCACGTAAACAGTTTAGCGCCATATCATCGCATGCAGCTCTCAGCGAAGCGCTCTGTCGTACTTCAATGTTGCAAACTGCCAACTAAGCTTGACCTAACTGATACTAGCGGGAATTTAGCGGCAGTTCCATAGTGGGGTGGCTGAGTCAGCGGAGCATACCCTAATTGCCTCGACTGACCGCTCTGCCACTAGTCCAACTGCTGGCCAATCAGAGCACCAATCGAGATCGAAAGCCCTGAAATTTCTGGTTGGAAAGTTCGGCTGTATTCCCAGACATTTTCGACTTCGACTTTCAAGCCCATCATCAAGCTTTTCAGCACCAGTCGTCGCCATGGGTACGTGAAAGAACTGATATGCATAGCCTGCGTATGCGAGTGGTGATGATACCTTGTGTATCGTCTCTGCGATCTGGATGCTCTCTTCCGTGAAGATGAGCAGCCACATTTGAGCATGAACCATCTGGCTGATACGGTTTCCATTTTCCAGGTATCGATCTCGACCGCCACCACGTCAAGGGCACTCACCGCAAGGCCCCCAAGAGCGACAATGTCTACTTGAAGCTCTTGGTCAAGCTTTACCGCTTCCTGGCCCGTAAGTTCATATCTTTCTTCGAAAAAAGAAAAAAAAAATGAAATTGGCGATTTCGCGGTGTTTGGGTTGAACGACTAACAAATGTGCCCTAGGCCGAACCGATGCCGCCTTTAACAAGGTTATCCTTCGACGACTCTTCATGTCCAAGATCAACCGCCCTCCCGTTTCTCTGTCCCGAATTGTTTCAAACATCAACAAGGAGGGCGAGAAGCGCACCGTCGTCATTGTCGGCACCGTCACCGATGACAACAGACTTCTGTCTTTCCCCAAGGCCACCATCGCCGCTCTGCGATTCACCGCCACCGCTCGTGCCCGAATTGCCGCTGCCGGTGGTGAGGCCATCACCCTGGATCAGCTCGCTCTCCGTGCTCCTACCGGAAGCAACACCCTGATCCTCCGTGGACCCAAGAACAGCCGTGAGGCCGTCAAGCACTTCGGCATGGGCCCACACAAGCACAAGGTTAGTTACGAAAAGATCCCACGGTGGCCCAGTGATGCTAATCCATGTTACAGAAACCCTTCGTCCAGTCCAAGGGACGCAAGTTCGAACGCGCTCGTGGTCGCAGACGCTCACGTGGTTTCAAGGTCTAAATTATGCTGGGAAAATTGGGCGAGCATCGGGATGGAGTTTTTATCTCCAATTTCGTTTTATTTATGGGACCTAAAGGGATGGCGTGACTTGATATCATTCAAAGTTAAAAAATTTCGTGCCTACAAATGGCCAATTGACGACCAGCTTGACCAATCTTTCGTAGCACTAAACGTGATGATTAAATGCGCCCTTGTTAATTGTGATCATCTATGCTAACAGTTGCATTAGATTTCCTTCGTAGTGCGACGAAGAACGCCTCTCTGCTTTCCTGTTACAGGTAGATCAGTAGGTGGTTGGTAATAGTGACCTCATGACATATATTGTCGAAACTTACTGATCTTGAAGATTCTGGCTTCTCTCTGTGCACCTCTGCGAAAAGTAGCCTGAGTTGTTTCTCCAGTTCTTTATCCCTTGCTCCCATATAGAATTTGCATACAAGATGACCGCCAGGTTTGAGTGTGTCGCTGGCGAACTGCAGCGCAGCTTCGCAAAGGTCCTAGTAGCCATTATGGTCACCTTTTATCCTTGCCAGACTAAAGCTAGGGTTTTATCCTTACCATGCTGCCAGCATGATCTCGAGACGCAATTCCACTCGTATTCATGAGCCTGTCATAAGGGTTACTCAAAGTCTTGGAACTAAATCCAGAAGTTTGTTCCCATGGTGCTGACATATCACTTAACACAATCTGTATCGATGTTAGCATGACCAGAATCTCAGTGTTGATTGTAGCGGGTGCTATCTGACGAACATCCACAAGATTTTTCGACGTCGACTTTGTTGGCATGCTACCGGAAGGTGATTTAGAGCCCTCTGTTGAGTGTCTCTCCAAGTCAATGTAGCTTGGCTGTTCTATAAGAGTGCGGTCTGAATTCAAGTCATCCTCGCCATTATTATCAAATTTTGCTGCCCTGGACAGTCGATCATGGTGTGCTTGAGCTATAAACTCTTTCAAAAGTTGTTGGACTACGGGAGACAGAAAATCTCCCTGGAATGTTGCGACGCCTTTGGGAGGTTGAGCCGGTATGAGGTCGATACCGATGACTTGACCGTGAGGCTTAGTGCGCTCAACAGCAACCTACTCAGGCATATGAATATCCAAAGTCTAAGAAGCTTTGCTGAATGCCAGTATGGATACAACGTACTTGAGACCAGCTGCCCGGCGCATATCCCTGGTGAAAAGGTTAGACCCTTAGAGATGTGCCGTCTATACCAGGATTTGATTTAGGTATGCTTGGGCTAACTTACCAGATCAACTACAGTTTGGTTCTTTTTGAAGAGCTTGTATTTTGCGTCTATCTTTGGAGGAGTTATTATCACGAAAAGGTCTTAAGTAGCTAACGATGGGCGAATCTTGCCTCCAACAACTTAAATGCTGCCCTGCTTTTTAGTCCTTGGACTTTGGCATGACGGACAAAATGGTCGCGGCCTTGGCGTTGCTTCCATTGAGTTCCAGAGGAAGCAAGCCTCGTCAGTCTGGGAACGTTGAAGAGACAATTAGGACGCGGCACAAAGGCCGAGTGCGGCGCTGATTGTAGAAGGCTTCGTGTCCAGCCTGTCCATTGATGTGACATGATTCCATTTGTGGAAGTGTGAAAAGGTAGCTATCAAAGAGCTTTGAGTGGAGGCCATCTAGTAGTAGAGGAAAGTTGGTGGAGCTCTACTGGGACACCCTCAATACAAAGAGGAATTGCAATCACTTATAATGGACATTTGACTGTGAAATCAATTAATGATTATTGATCTTTACATAATATTCTGTTCAAAAGCTATAAATATATTCTCCAATATATTAAGTATAATAAAGTCAGTTACCTTATGAATTCATTGTAAAATTTTGCCTAGAGGTCCCCACCTCATAATGGCCTAGCTTAAAACAACCTCTCAAGCAAGGCTACCAATCAGCGCAGCGGGTGGCCACTACTACCCAACTTTGTGGAACAACCGTGCTCTTGCTCGTTGAGCAGCCAAATTCACCTTCACTTGCGGCTCGCCGTCCGTCTACCATCTCATTTGATAGCCGCCATCCTTTTCTCCGAGCGAATTCTCTGTCGGACGAACCCATCACACCGAGCGACCTGTTTCCGATTACGAATTTAATATACTCTACTGGCTGATAGGATGGCTGTCGTAAGTGCACATGTCCTCTTGCTGGCCCTTCGTCAACCCTGGCTCTCGTGGCAGTTTGGGGAGCTGCCCGTTCGCGATGTCTCCTTGTTTGTACACTACAGAAGCATCCGGCCTTGCCTTCTTCTTCATTGCCATTTGTTTTATCTGCTCGCAGGCCCTGCAATCTTGGCATTGGGGGTTCGAGGCGTATTCTGGTCTTGACCACCGCTTGACCCCTCCTCTGATGCCTGCTGGGTTCCGCAGCCGGATTCCATCTGTGACGTGCGGTTTAGCTAACGAGTGCAGCCCCGAGCATATGCCCCTGGCTACATACAAAATGGTGCAACGAGCCTCCCATCGCCTGGCGCAGCGCCCCTCCTGCCCAACCAAGGCCGTATCATCCAGACGGGACCCATACGGATTCTTTGCGTTGCTGACGTTCGAGGTATGCTGCGAGCATCTCAGCTGTCCGCGGCACGTGCTAACAACCCACACAGGAAACCTGCGATCGCTCAACGAACTTGCAAAACAGGCCCGGGCTGACCACATCATCCACACTGGCGACTTTGGATTCTACGACCATACGTCCCTGGAACGAATTGTGGAGAAGACGCTGAAGCATGTGGCACAGTATTCGCCCCTGATTTCTGAACCGGTCAAGAAGGCTATTCAGCAGGGCGGACCTGGCCCCGTGAAATCCAGATTCTCTCCGAGCGAGCTCCCCCTCTCCGAACTTCCTCTGCTCCTTAATGGAGAGCTGAAACTGGATGTGCCAGTATACACCGTCTGGGGCGCCTGTGAAGATGTCCGCGTTCTTGAAAAGTTCAGATCATCCGAGTACAAAGTCCACAACCTTCACATCATCGACGAAGCTCGTTCCATGTTACTCGAAGTTGGTGGTGTAAAACTGAGACTCCTGGGTCTAGGTGGCGCTGTGGTAATGCACAAACTGTTTGATAACGGAGAGGGCCGTACCACCATAGCGGGAGGACAGGGTACGATGTGGACAACTCTATTACAAATGGGAGAGCTAGTTGACACTGCTCATCGTGTCTATGATCCCACTGAGACTCGAGTCTTTATCACGCACGCCTCTCCGGCTCGCGAGGGTATATTGAACCAGCTCTCTGTTACCTTGAAAGCCGACTTTTCCATCTCAGCCGGACTCCACTTCAGATATGGAAGTTCCTACAACGAATTCAGTGTCAACCCTACGCTAGATCATTACCGTGGCAAGCTTGCTGCCTCAAAGGCTTCCTTCAATGACGTCTGGGAAACTGTCAGGGGAGAAGTTGAACCTGCCATCCAGCAGAATGAGGCGCAACAAAATCTTCTGAAGAACGCTCTGCAAATTGTGGAAAAGATGCCCTCGACGGCTGCTGGCGGAAATCCTTTTGGGGGCCCAGTGGCGGGCTCGGGTGGTCTTGGTGCAGTTGACGAAAGTGCTTTTAAGAATATGTGGAATTTTAACCTTGCTGACGCTGCTTTTGGCTATTTGGTACTGGAAATCCAAGATGGAAGAATTGGAACTGAGATGCGCGCCCAGGGATTTAATTTCTCCCACCGAGGAGCTAAACAGCAGTCGTCTGCGGCTCCCCCGTCGGGAACTGCCGCGGCTGCCGCCATTCCTCCTCCAAGCGCAGCCTCTTCAGCTACTCCTACTGCACCCCCGGCTGCCAAACAATCTCCACCAACTCAACAGCCAAAGGCTACCCCAGCTGCCCCTATTCCCACGATACCGAGCCGATCAACCCCACAGCCCACCGCAGGCAACGCCGCCGCTAACAGAGAGGCGGAGAAGACAGCCGCTCCGACAAATGGATCGGCAAATGTCCCTGAACCGGCCTCCTCGCCAGCCCCAAAGACCTCGGCATCTGATATCATTGGTCTGTTTATCATGAATGTCAACACGGAAGATCAGTGCCGCGATCTCTTTGATGAGGTTGACAAGTCTAAAATTCTCAAGATTGAGAAATGGGGTGGCTCAAACAAGGTTGTTCAATTCAAAACACTTGAAGACCGCGATGGGGCTATGGGAAGGCTGCCAGAAGCGGTCAAGACACGAACTCAGGAAGACCGATCAAAGCCGCTTGTCAAGATCTTTCATCATCGAGAAAGCAAGCCATTCAACACCCGCGGCAATGCTGGAACTTGGGGAGGCAGCGGACGAGGCGGATCTACCACCAGCGGTTATCGCAGCGCTGGCGGGACGAGCGACTCGGAAAGCAACCGACGAGGTGGCCGTGGGGGTCGAGGAGCTCGAGGTGGTGAGCGAGGACGTGGTTCCCGCGGACGAGGAGGCATAAAGGGAGATGCTGGTGTATCTCCCGCAGCAGCACCTTCTACCCCTAGTGCTGATTAAACTCAGCCATCAAACATCAAACATCATGTTCTCTGATTATCTTAAGCCACTGTAATGGCATTCTTCTTGTTTTATTTCGGGCGCGCACAGCCTTGAGAACTCTATCTCATTCCGCGTGGTTTTCCTTTTGGGGCAAACTGGCGTTAGGCTCTGGAAGGTTTGAGAGCAAGGTCCAGAAAATTTCATGTGTACATACGTATTTCATGAGCTTCCAGGAGGTTTCGGTGTCGGCTTGAGAGTATTATTAGCCTTCGTCTTTCATTGGTTCCTCGATTAGTTCGGTTACAGAAAAAAAAATGCAACAGCTTTTGATTAAAGTGCCAGCTATTTATATATAGGTAGATGGTGGCCATACTGGTGTCACGCCATGTGAAACAAAGAGTGAATTGTATTGATGAAAGCGAGTCATTGATTGTAATATCATTTGATTTCTAATTAAAGTAACCCTTGTAGGCGTCTGTACTAAATACTATACAAACTAGACATATAAGTCTAAGAGTCTTCACAGGGGTTTGATGCCTTTATGGATAGCCGCGACGCCACCAGTCAGATCCTCATAGCCTTTTCCCACAATGGCAAACCCTGCGCCAGCAATCATGTCTCGGAATTCCTCTTGGGATGGGAACCGTTCAATGCTCTCAACGAGATATTGATAGCTGTCACGGTCTCCTGCAACCAGCTGGCCAATCAATGGGATCGCGCTGAAGGACCACTGCTTGTAAATTGCGTTGAAGATGGGATACTTGTCCACTTTGGAAAACTCCATACAAGCAAAGATGCCGCCAGGTTTGAGGACTCGATATGCCTCTCTCAGGGCTGCGGGCATATTAGAGAAGTTGCGTATGCCAAAGGCAACTGTGTATAGGTCAAGAGAATTGTCCTTGAGTGATGATGGCAGAACTTCAGCGTTTGCCTCTAAGAAGGAAAGGGAAGACTGGTGAGAGGCTGGAAGAGATAGGGAGCGCTGTTTGCCAACGCTGAGCATTGCTGGGTTGATGTCTGATATCGTAACGTGCACATTTGGGTTGCCGTTGTTGGCATGGGCGTGCTGCAGCATGCGAAAGGCGATATCGCCAGTTCCTCCGGCGACATCAAGGATGCGCTGTGGCATGCCTGTAGGGTTTGTGGCCCCTGGGTTCAGCGAGGAAACGAAATGATCTCTAAAAGCGTCGTTAGCTACTGATCTGGTGATGTGTTCCAGGAACGTATTGAAGGATTTTTTTTTTAAAAAAAAAAAACTCACTTCCACAGACGGTGAACACCCATCGACATCAAGTCGTTCATCTTATCGTATGATTCTGCCACGCTGGTGAAGACTTCGGCAACTCGCTCCTGCTTCACAGACTCGGTAACCGTCTCATATCCAAAGTGAGTGGAGCGGTCTGCGGTAGGGGTTGATTTTGATTCACGAAGCTGGCGGCTGGTAGAGAAGAAGTGAGCTGTGCGAGAAATGCATGAAGCAGGCCGGAATAGCCTGGCACGGCTTCTCACCACTGACGAAGCAGACATGTGTAATTTTTTTCTGTTGGCCTTTTGGAAAAGAACGTTGGCAGTAATTAACTGACTGCCTTAATGACAATGCGGTTAAAGTGTAGAGACGGATCCAGAGTGTGTTTTCTTGCTTGTCTCTCTGAAACAAGAATTTATATGAATATCCGGTTGATGGGTTAAATTTCTCTTTCGGCAAGCGGCAGATACGGCGGCTTATCTTGCCACTGGAACAAAGTAATTCTCCGCCAATTGCCAATGGAAAGATCGTAAACGAAGGAAGCTGAAAATAATTTGAGAAATTGAAGTCAGCTGCAGGGCAACAAGACTCGGCTCTATAGACTTTCTGCTCCTTCAACGTCCTGAAGGCTAGATTGAGGCTGCGCTTCTGGACGGCGATACGCGAGAAGTGCCTGGATAAATTTGTGGATACTTTGCTGGAAGAACCAGCCAATCAGCGCGATGACACCAAAGATGCTGAGAATGAGTATCACCAGATTAGCTGCCGGAGGGGCCATTTCAGACGATGTGGAATAAGTGTTTGTAGAAAATTGATTGGATTTATAGGAAGAACAAGGTTGAATTGGAAGGTTCGTTAATTCATGCCTGTCGAGTTTGTTCTTCGCCGTCAACCGAATCTGTCAGGCCTGCTGCCACCTGGCCGCCACTCAGCCATCGTATCGTGCGATTATAGGGCTTCCTTTAGTACAGGAGGCAGAATATATAACATGCACAATGCAATTGAACAAATACTATAAAGAGATGATGATGAGAGATGAAAGAATAAGGACTGAAGAATGATTCAAGATCATTGGCTGAGACTATCCTTGTTGAGGCAGCTTTCGGTAATGTGGTACGTACTGTGTGACCAGGCAATTGGGCAGTCGCATTACCCCTTACACCATGAACCGCCTTTCCAACGTTTATTATCAGCATTACCTCCCAATTGTTCAAAGGCGTCAATTACAATTGATTTTATTTGATGCGATTTGATTTCATCAGCACTCTGCAAATCGGTACTACTAGCAGCAGCATCTTCCCCAGGGCCAGGGCGTGCTGCGGCTTAGTGGTGTTAGCGCTGGCGGATTCTGTCGGCTCAATTGCGACCGCTCTCTATCGGCATCCTGGCTCCTTGTCCCGAGATCAAGCTGCCTTCCCCGGATTTCCCATCTTAAAAGTGATAGTGCCTGCTGCATCTCGACGTGAGCCAAACAATCAGCATTTCTGCAAAAGCCTCAACCCCATTGTCTACTTTCAACTGTGACTCAGATGAGCTCTCGCGTCATTCCAAGGGCCTCCATACGGAGGCTGGCAGCCAGCACGAAGCCATGCGTCTCTGTCATCTCCAAGTCCATTCGGAGTGCTGGGAGCCTTTCTCAGCGGCCCAATTCTAATTTCGTCTCATTTCCAGGAGCCTTGAAGAGCTCTTTCACCAGTTCTCTCAAATTTGAGACTCCCGATTCATACACAGCCCTTCAGACCTATCGAGTCGTGGATCAGGATGGCCAGATAGTCGACCCCTCCTTCAGCCCTGACATTTCCGATGAGACAGTCATTAAGCTCTACAAGGACATGTTGTTCATCTCCATCATGGATCTCATCATGTTCGATGCCCAGAGACAAGGTCGTTTGAGCTTTTATATGGTCAGCGCAGGCGAGGAAGCCGTGAGCGTGGGAAGCTCTAGCGTACTAGACAAAGAAGATGTCGTTTTCTGCCAGTATCGAGAGCAGGGCTTTTTCAAGGAGAGGGGTTTTACCACTGAGCAATTCATGTCACAACTGTTCGCCAATAAGAAAGACTCTGGTCGGGGGAGAAACATGCCGGTTCACTACGGATCTAAGGAATTGAATATCGTGAGTAACCAACCTTGAGCGCGCAATGTCGAAACCTATTGGCTAACGCTCGCGGCAAAAGCACACCGTGTCTTCACCATTAGCAACACAGCTTCCGCAGGCCTCGGGAGCAGCATATGCGTTAAAGTTACAGAAGCTTCAAGATCCCAGCTCAAAGCCGCGAGTAGCGGTAGTATTTTTCGGTGAGGGAGCTGCCAGTGAGGGCGATTTCCATGCAGCGCTGAATATTGCCGCCACGCGCTCATGTCCCATCGTTTTCATCTGCCGTAACAACGGGTTTGCCATCTCCACACCCACTCTTGACCAATACCGAGGAGATGGCATTGCAAGCAGAGGAATTGGATACGGTATTGACACAATCCGAGTGGATGGAAATGACATCTGGGCCGTCAGAGAGGCCACAAAGAAGGCGCGAGCAATGGCTCTTGAGGGCGGTGGCAAGCCAGTTCTCATCGAAGCCATGACCTATCGTGTCTCTCATCACAGCACTTCCGACGACTCCTTTGCATACCGAGCTCGCGTTGAAGTTGAGGATTGGAAGCGACGAGATAACCCCCTAACTCGGCTGAGGAAATGGATGGAGGCTAAGGGATGCTGGGATGAGACGAAGGAGAAGGATGCCAGAACCGACCTGAGAAAGGAGATCTTGAAGGCTTTTGGCGAAGCAGAGAGGGAAAAGAAGCCACCGATTGCCACTATGTTCGAGGACATTTATGAGGAGCTGACGGAGGACCTCAAGGAGCAAAAGGAGCAACTAAGGACAATGCTAGAAAAGTATCCAGAAGAGTATGAGGTTGGATCTTTCGATGGAGGTATAGACAGCCTGAAGGCTAAATAAGGCAACAAATTGGTAATAGACATCAATTCTCAAGTATACCTCGAATTATTCCATCCGTTGCGCTATCTCATTCGCTGGCTGTAATGAGATTGTGTTGTTAGCTACCTAACCAACGGAGGCAGTACCGTCTAATTAGATGTAAAACAAAGTACATTTCAATAAAGACTTACACTTGTTTTTGTGTAAATACCGTGTTAACGAATAGATGGCAATATCTTTATAGGCGAAGTACAACCGCACTCGCATGAAATTTGGCCATTTCTATGCCCAGATGTGAGATGACGAGAACTGACTCTAAATAAATTACTCAGCCGCCAGACCTCTTGATTCGGCATAGCGCCACCAGCTCCAGTGCCTGGTACCTGTAAGCTAGTACGAAACGGCACTAGATCCGCCTCTGGAGTTCCGAGCGTCCTAAGCTCTCCACCAATTGTCACTTGTTGACATTTCTGTATCTCTTCCTCCCAGCTCTACCATCATGTCGTCCAAGAGGCACTCCGTCCTCCCGGCCGTTGACCGCAGCGGTCCGAAACCGCCTGTCAACTTCTCTACGTCGCTTACCATTTCCGATAATGCCGTTCTCCAGGGCACACACTCGATCACGATGCAGGCAGAGACGGTAGTGCACCCCCGATCGCGCATCGAGTCAAGCGTTGGCAGCGTTCTTGTTGGGCGACGATGTATCATCCAGGAACGCGTGCACCTCGGAGCTGCTTCGGGAAATATAGATAAGGGCACAGGTGGTGTCAGCCTTGGGGACTACGTGCTCATCGAAGCGGGCTCAGTTATCGAGGCTGGAGGCACGGAAATCGGCGAGGGCAGCATCATTCAAGTGGGAAGCAAAATCGGAAGCGGTGCGAAGATTGGCAAAGTAAGGGCTGAGAGTTACTTGTTTCTTACACGGAGAAGCTAATACAGGAGAAATAGAACTGCACGATATCACACTTATCTATTATTGCTAATGGCGATGTGCTACCTGACAACACGGTCGTCTATTCAAATGGTACATGGCGAACCGATAAACGCGGAACCCCAGAGCTTCGAAAGCTTAGCATCGTCAAACAGATTGCTATGCTCAGAAAGATGATCCCAAGTAACCCAGACAAATTCCGATAGACCATCCAATTCCACGCTAGATTAATGAGTCATGGCGTCTTCAAACAGCGCGCGTAGCTGGTCTTTTTCAGCTTGCAGTTCCGAGGCAAGGCCGGGGGCAAGCATCAGCACACGAGCTTGAGGAATAGTGCCTTCAACGAGTCCATCGATATGCTCGCTTCCGAAGCCCAGCGCCTTGAGGCCCTTTGGCTGATCGCCCAAGTCCTCAAGGAACTTGGTCAGTGCCTCGGCCAAGACTTCTCCAGCACTCTCCTTCTTTACGTTGGAGATGTCAACGCCAAACGCCTCGGCGGCGAGGAGATGCCTTTCCGGGTTGGAAGCACCAGTGAATCTAAAGACAGCAGGGGCAGAGACTGCTACTGAAACACCGTGGGGAATGAGAGGGTTTGGAATCTCATAACCAGCGTGCGTGTAGCCTGGATTCTGGCCAGAGATGGGATACGACATGCCTATAAAACAATCATTTCTTAGCAAATCACACGCATATAAATGATACACGGGGTTACATACCATGGCACAAATGAACTCCAGCGTTTCCAAAGCCAACCCCCGCCAGGGTCGCTGCCAAAAGCATCTCGCTCTGAGCTTCAAAATCCTCGGGGTCTTTTACAGAACGAGGGAGATACTTCACAGTGGCCTTGAGTGCGTGGAAGGAGAAGACATCCGAAATCGGATTGGCTCCCTGGTACGCTGGCCGCAAAATTGGGTTCGTTGGTCGCGGTGTTCGCTCGGTGTAGGGGATGGCTGTCCAGGACTCAAGGGAATGGCACAAGACGTCCAGACCAGAGGCAGCCTTGACAGCAGAAGGCATGGTGCGTGTGTTGAGTGGGTCACATATTCCCAGCGTTGGCTTGAGATTTCGGTGAGCGACACCAGTCTTTGCCTTTTTTGAGACGAGGTCGAAGATGGCTGTTCCCGTAGTTTCGCTGCCGGTACCCGCTGTAGTTGGGACTGCGATGAGCGGCTTAAGAGGCTTGTCAATTGGAAGCCCCCTTCCCAATGGCGCATTTACAAAGTCGAGGAAATCAGCATCCGGGTAGGAGGTGTACAGGTTCATCAGCTTGGCCGTGTCTATGACAGACCCTCCACCCACTGCAAGAAATGCGTCTGGCGCATAAGGCCTTGCCCATGCAATTGCCTCCTTGATACTATTTCACCCCCAAGACATGTTAGTAAAGTAAACAATGCGGCCAATAGAGATCAATAAAGGCTAAATAGCAGGGCACTTACGAGCTATCTTTTGGTTCTATCCTCACGTCGGAGAAGACTTTGAAGTTGACGCCTTCGCGAGTAAGGGCCTCTCGCACTTGTTTCATTGCTTCCAATTGGTCCACGGTCTTGTCAGTAACAACGCATACTCTTTGCGACCCAAGGTTCTTCAGGTCCATGCCAACTTCCTGGGTCACACCGGCGCCAAAGCGAATAGATGACGCTGCCATTTCAAAGGCATACTCCTTCAAATTGGCATTCGAAGGCGTGGCGTAGCGTCGACCTCCCAGGCTCTGTGAGAGCTTGGGCGGGGTACGCTGGTGATAGCCCGGGTTTGAGTGGCACGGACATGATGGAGGATGAGTATACTGAATTGTCCGGAGGAGACTCGAAGCCCGCTTGGCGGCCTGTAGTTGCGCTTAGTATATATATAAAGTCAAGCATCAATTGGCGAAACAAGCATACATTTGGCACAACTCTAACAGTAGCAGACATGATTCTTCGTTCTCTTTCGTATTCTCGGCAGTGATGATGATAACTTGAGAGTTTGCGGGGTTGAAGTTGAGTGCCGATGTGAAGGGACAGGTTAAATAGCAATAACCGCGGCTATTGCCTAGTAGCCAAGAGCTAGGCGCCGATATTCATCAACGTCGGCTACCAAGAGTTGGAGGAGGCACTTGCTTGACTCGAGTCACGAAAGTAGCGGGAGATGCCACACGGAGCAGCTAACGAGCAATCTGGTCTTAATATACATATTTCTACAAAGTTCCCTAGGTGCCCAATGAGGACCCAATTGAATTGACTGGGATCAATCTGACTATCCCGAACCCCCGATTTCGTGCTTACGAAGGATTCAGAGGAACAATGTTCTTCCTCGTGCAAAAGCTGACAGCTTTGCTGTGCATCAAGTAATGCAATAACGAGGTGGTGATAATGGAGATGCGCATATGGGGTAGCGGATCCTACCCCGAACGCGGGTAGACGCTTGCAAAGCGCACAGTTTAAGCACTTTAGGCTTGTTTTGGCGAAGTTCTTGCTCTGTGCCGTTTAAAGTTAGGAGTCCCATTTTTTAACAATCGCGGTACACGGGGCTTTGGGGGCACCGAGGTCCTTAAGTGTTCGACGGAGCCCTAGAACTTCCACAGCGACGTTTTAGAGATCTTCTTTCAACAATGATGGGTTCGTCTAATTTTAGCATTAAAAATTAGAATTTTCAGTTTTAATCAATTTTGGCTGCAGAAAGGGGTTTAGCGCCCAAAAATTGCTGCTTTAAATACTACTGGTTTGAAGACTCTTGGTTGCCCCGTACGGAGGATTTGTTATGCCATCGGCTCAGCCGGATGATCTCAGCAGGTGCTGTTGACATCTGAGGGAACAACGTCATCGCCCGTTAAGCAGGTTGCCCGACCTTGCTTGACCACCCTGCTTCCGTGATATATTAAAAAATGGCTCCCACGGCACCCAAGTGAGACAATGTTTATCAACAATTAACTTTTTCTTCCCTTTTGCTCTTTAGACTTGATCTGTATTTCTTTTACGCATCGCGATAGGTTGAACGATGCCGGGCATAGGTCAAGACAACACCGTTAGCCGGTCTTTGTCCGATACACCAAATGATGCCTCTGGGAGAACCGCCAGAGCCCTTCCGAACAGCCCTTTGGGGTCTGCACAGGGAACCGCCTCGCTACCGAATATTGTAACCTTTACGCATGCGGATAGCTTTGGAAGCAGAACAAGCCAGCGTGCACTTGGCCCAGAGTCCCCTCGAACAGCAGATGGGGGCCGGCGAAGCCTTTCATACGCCCTGCGACCGGAAGCAAATGTTTACTACGACTCGCGAGCGGCAACACGCGATGAATGGAAACGACGGGACCGAACGCTACAAGACTACTATGGAAACAATCCTCAGCTCTTGCCGCAGCTGCCTTTTACGTGGCATCATGGATGGAAGCGCTGGAGACTCTTTATTTTTGCGATTCTAGTATTCATCGATGGTTCTCTAGTACCCATCGTGCTGTACTATGCATTGAGATATGCTGGCCATGTTCAGGGCTGGATCATCTTCGCTGTGGTCACGAGTATTTGGGGCGGCCCAACATACGTCGAATTTGGCATCAGAACCTGGCGGCTCATGAAGAAGGAGAGGTTCTTCCGTCCACTGGGCACGAATAGCCGCTGGTGCTTCGATACACTGAACTGGGCATCGGTGCTTACCATCACCGCCGTTACGGCGCTCTTCATCGTGGGCAGCGCGCCGCATATAGTTTGGCTGAGAGTTCTCTGCATGCCAGCACCAGCCATTCTGTACTGCCTTGGCGGCGTCCTCGGCCTCATCACGCTATTCAACTATATGAACTGGCGTGCCCCGTTCCGCCTCAGTTCCACTGGGAAAGGCGAAAAGGTACGATGCAATGGCTCTTTCCTTTGCCTTTTTAGTACTCGGCGTCTTATGCTAACTATCTTTTTTTCTTCAAATAGGTCCTGCCGGGAGTGTACTATTTCATTGAAGATGTCGTTGCCGTCAACGCCGGAGCCGGTAGACCATACAGAGAAGCTTTTGCGGCCCGTTATAATGCCAGCCCCCGCTTCCGGCAAATGCTGTTCAAGCAATCTGTATTCTGGTCCGTGCCTGCGCTTCTGTTGGCTGGCGCCCTCACCGTTATTGCCGTCGTACATGAAGTTCCAGCAACTGTTGCGTACGGAGTATGCTGGGCCGTGCCATTCATATGGTGTGCGGTCTGGGGCTGGATTACAGTCATCTGGTGCAAGCGAGATATGGTCCGCGAGAGAGTGGAGTGGGAACAGAAATACCCTACTGAGAAACATGAGACTGCAACAAACAATATCCCTTTAGCGGCGGTTTAACTGTATTTACCAAGCTTGTTTATCTTTACACATGAAGTTTGTTTTCCTTTAGCGACTTTGCATCTCTTTGCCGCACCTAACCCATACATCATTGGCCGTGATTGCCGTGCTAATAATCATGGCCAGCGGGATCACTGCAGGATGAGTTTCAATCAAGCCAACAGCAGTGGCTGGAAGGAGAATATCCATGGTGGTTGCTACAAGCTTCAGTATCAGCGAAGTGACAGTCTCCTTGGATTCTGCCGCTCCGCTCTGCGCCGCCATTTGATTCCCAGATCCGTCGCCATTCTCGCTCAATGACCCATCTCCCTTCTGACGTTCACTCTTCTCACTTGAGATGTTCTCTTTGGAGCTGTGGTTGGATGATGCATGCGGGGTCGGCTGTTTGCCAAGACAGCGCAGCAGTGCGATACTAGAGCGGAACAGCGAGATGCATAAAGCGATGAGCCAAAAGACCTGAGCTTGATAATTCAGATTATTAGTCTGCTCTGCACCGAATATCTCCAGATGGTCAACTTCTAGCAGGTCGAGCAGGGTCACGGATTCGAGCATGCCATACAGCCCCAGGCATGTTTTGCCGAGCACATCGAGTAATGTGTCGAAGTCCAATACCCGGGACGAGTACAAGTCCCATCCCAGTTGAAATTGCTCAAGGAAGCGAAAAAGTCGCAGGAGACGCCTGGTTACGTTGATCTTGGCCCGCAGTTTCAGAAATGACGTTGACGGTGGGAACTTGGTTGACGTTAGAGGCAGCAATGCGGCTGCTGCAGAGAAGCGATATGTGGCGAAGAGAGAGGCTAAAGCCTGGACAAAGCGTAATGATCGCTCGATTCCGGCTTGGCAGGCGTCAGCATTTGTTTGGAGACCTGTTTATACGATTTCCTTCCCAATGTGCTGATTTTCCACGCTAAGTGGCCTGGGGATGCAACACACCATTATCTGTCCCGAAGGCAATAAATTGGCGCAGGAGTGCCATGTTCACGGCACTAATATTGACGCAGCAATTACGTGCGCTGCGACTAAGGCGAAAGCGAAGATGCCGTATCAAAAATAAAATGAAGAAAAAACTAATAAAAAAAAAGGCGATAGACTCTGATGAAGATACAGGCAGGGTAGGCGGCTACTCAGTGTTTGGGTGGTAATTGAGGAGGAGTACCGGTATAATGATGTGATGACGGGTTAATATATCTTAGTAGTATGGAATACAACTACAGTTCACTATTTAGGGGCTTCTGCAAGCTAAAAATGAGACTTCAACCCGTTTTTGTTCTCCATCTTGTCAGGCACCAAGTGAATAATATCCACACAGTTGGTTTGGTGTGCCGGCTTAGAGGCCTGCGTGCAAACCTAATCTTTTCCCAATACCACCACCTCGAAGTCTATTCCTCCATTCTCATTGGTCTACCTATCAAATGCTCCGGAGACAAAGATAGTTCCAAGTAATATCTGGAACAGCTAGGAGCGCTGTATTGTAAACCTAAAGTGGTGCTGTAAATGCTGCCAAGTACCTTCGATTCTTCTGCACGGTGCAGGGTAGCGACCAGCTAAAGCATGGCAGAAGCGAGGCCTGATGGACATCCACAGCTGCTGGCGCATCATCAACGTATGGCAAGTCCTTAGACTTTTGCCATGTTTTCACCGCTGGCCACTATTCGCCGCCAGTACTACAGCGTGCTACGATGGCCTCATATTCGAAAGAGCGTGTCTGTAGCGTGTGGCTCTGGAGGCTTTGTAGATATCGAGTCCGTGATTACAAAATCCTACTATGAATGCGACTTCAGCGCTAACGCCTACAGCAGTTTGTATAACGTTGACGAATTTTCACCTACAAAGTTCCTGGTTCTTCATTTGTCTCCATCACCGGGGAACGCCTACAGCGCAAAGCAGCTGCCGGAATTCTTGTATGATTGGCCTGTGGCAAGCATCAACTACCGATGGGAGACAGAACGTCGCGATCTCGCAATTCAAGATGCCGCCAGCGAAGAGCACGACTTTGCTGGCTCTTTAGATTGGCCTACGCCGATACATGATGTCGCTTTTGCTTACCAGTGGATAACTAGAGCTCTGATGCCTCCAAACAATGGCCGAGGAGGCATTTACGTCTATGGATCTCATCTCGGGGCTGGCATAGCCATGTCTCTCTCATTGACCGAGTCACGTCCAAATGAAAAGTTTTGCGTGCGTGGCATCGCGGCCTACAATGGCATCTACAACTGGACCATGTTTCTGCCAGGCCACAGAATCAACATGATTAGGTCCATGATGGACGTTGCAAGTCTTTCGCGGCGTACAAACGGCAACCTTCGACTTGATACCCTGCAACAAAAGTTGGTATCCCTGTTTCAAACGCCAGCCAGTCTCTTTGACCCCTTCGCAAGCCCAAGCCTCTTCTTCCACAACCCAGGGCTATCCATACCCGAATCATTTTACACATCTACACAGCTCGCCAGCATTATTCGCAATATGAAAGGGCAGGTGAGCGACGAGTCCAAGGGAAATGTCTTGCCCCGCAACTCGTATCTTAAGTTCCCTCCTAGAGACTCAACGATGAAGATACCTGAAACCATCCTCTTACATGACGCGCCGTCTGGACCACCAACACGACAACCAAGAACAAAAAAGGGACTCAAAGGCAGTAGCGACGGAGACCAGAGGAACACATTTAAGAATCAAACAGAAGAAATTGCTAGTTTAATGAGGCGCAGTTTGGCCAGGATTGAGCTTAAGGAGAAAGCGAGATGGGAAGAGGACGCGCATTATTTGGCAGAAGAGCCGAAACGTAGAATTCGGGTTGTCGAGGTAGGACCAGAAAGGGAGGACCTGGAGCTGAATGAGATCGGCCAGAAAGCTGTTTTGAATTGGTTGGATGAGAATCTTAGAACTATACACTTGAAATAACAATACTACGTAGCATAAGCCAAGTATTTGGCATAAATTACTCGGGCTGCTAACGTCAGTGAGCGCGCAATGCCGGTGTACCAAGCTTCGCGAAAATGCAGTTTCAAGCTAATGATCTTTATTGACTTTTATAACAGCGATATTGCGGAATGCAATTGGTGCTTGGCATAAGTACATAACATGCTTCTACCTTATCTCTTAAGATGGCACAAAGCACATGCAGCCAGCTCCGCGAGAGCTCCCTTTGCTTTTCTGCCCATGACCTAATGGATATTACCCATATTACCCCGGCGCTAAGCATGCCCCCAAAGTGCCCGGAACCTTGCCTAAACCAGGCGAATACGTACCGTTTCAGGCACCCGAACTGGCACCTGTGCCAAGCACTATATCTACCCACTTACCGCTACGCCCGTTGCTCTCCAGATCGTGACGCAATCATACACCTCTGAAGCATCGCAACCAGCTCGCCACTTTTCCGTCCAGACGACTGATTACTGTCGCTCAGCTTCACACCACCGACGCGCTGGAAAGCTCGTCTCAGCAAGCTTCTTGATAGCCGATCGGCTAGGTCGGCGCCATGCGTTCGGCTCTGCTGCAGTCTGGCCTTGCCGCCCTGCTCTTCGGGGCGAGCGTCTCTGCAGAATCACACACACCAAAGCACGAGCTGGGCCGATGCGCGTTTCGAGGGCAGTGCGGAAAGCAGAGCTTTTTCGGCAAGGAGCTCCCATGTGTCGACAACGGCCTCGCAGAAGACCCGGACGATGATCTTCGAAAGGAGCTTGTTGAGCTCTGCGGCTCCCAGTGGAGCGAGGGGCCTGTTTGCTGCAACCTGGATCAAGTAAGCCTTGAATTGTCGTGTAGGAAGCCGTTGATTTGATACTGATATCCATCTAAAGGTTAAAGCTTTGAAATCCGAAATGGGCACTCCGAGGACTCTCATTGGCTCCTGCCCTGCCTGCAAAGAGAACTTCTTCAATATGTTTTGTAAATTTACGTGTTCTCCTGATCAATCGACCTTTATAAATGTCACAGATGTCGCGAAAAAGGGCAACAAGCTGCTCGTCACTGAGCTTGACCAATTGATTTCGGAGGAATACGGCTCGGGGCTCTATGATAGCTGTAAAGAGGTCAAATTCGGAGGCGCAAACAGCAGAGCAATGGACTTGATCGGTGGCGGAGCCAAGAACTATCACGATATGCTCAAGTTTCTTGGCGACAAGAAGCCGCTTGTTGGTTCGCCCATCCAGATCAATTATCCGGAAAAGTACGACCAGCCTGGGATGGCGCCATTGCAAACGAAGCCCAAGAAATGCAATGATGAGGACCCGGCTTATAGATGTGTTTGTGTCGACTGCCCGGAAGTATGTCCTACATTGCCTGACGTAAAGGAAGCTGGGTCTTGCCGAGTGGGAAAGCTGCCCTGTCTCTCTTTTGCATCCATCTTTACATATGGTGTCTTGCTACTGGCACTTTTCGTTGCCGTCTTTGGCCACATCTTCTGGGCTAAATATCAGAAACGTCGTGTCGAAAGAACTCGGCTACTCCACGAGTCGTCGCACAGCGATGACGAAGACGAGGGCGGACCTATCCTTACCGATGCTATGCGCGACCAGCCAACTAAACGCTATTGGCTCAACGATAAATGCGACAAGGCTTTCCGCCAGCTAGGAAACATGTCTGCAAGGTTCCCCAGCCTCACCATAGGTGTTAGCTTGGTGGTTGTTGCTATCTTGAGTGCTGGCTGGTTCCGCTTCGATATAGAGCAAGATCCTGCTCGACTCTGGGTCAGCCCGACCTCGGAAGCTGCTCAAGAGAAGGCATACTTCGACTCCAATTTTGGCCCCTTTTTCCGAGCTGAAAAGATTTTCTTGGTCAACGACACCAAGTCATCTGGTCCTAGCCCCGTTCTTAGCTATGAGACGTTGAAGTGGTGGGCGGATGTCGAAAAGAGCGTTGAAGCCCTTCAGGGCTCCGTGTATAGCAGTACACTTGACGATGTTTGTTTCAAGCCTACCGGCGATGCTTGCGTTATACAATCCGTTACGCAGTATTGGTACTCAAAAGGTGGCATTGACTCCAAGTATTGGAAGGACGACCTTCGCAGCTGCGCAAAATCGCCTGTAGACTGCCGACCTGCATTTGGACAGCCTATTGAGCCCACTATGATCCTTGGTGGCTACGATGACGATGTCGTTGACTCTCAGGCAATGACAGTCACATGGGTCGTCAACAATGCTGCTGAGAACTCTGATACGCTTCTTCGCGCTATTGACTGGGAGAATGCACTCCGCGATCGACTCCTCCAAGCCCAGGAGGAGGCTAAAAGCCGAGGGCTCCGATTATCATTCACAACGGAAATCAGCTTGGAACAGGAGCTCAACAAGTCTACAAATACGGATGCCAAGATTGTCGTCGTGAGCTACATTGTCATGTTCATTTATGCATGCTTGGCGCTCGGCACGCCTTTGAAGCACCTGTTTGGAAATCCGGCCCTGTTGTTGGTTGAATCAAAGGTCACTTTGGGCCTTGCTGGCATTGTGATTGTCCTTATGTCTATTTCTGCTTCCATTGGCTTCTTTTCGTGGGTTGGCTTGAAGGCCACACTCATTATTGTCGAAGTAATTCCGTTTATCGTCTTGGCTGTCGGCGTTGACAACATCTTTCTCATTGTTCACGAGCTGGAAAGAGTCAACATTAATTTCCCTGACCAGATGGTGGAAGAGAGAGTGTCTCGAGCCCTGGGCCGTATGGGACCTTCTATCCTTTTCTCCGCCTTGACCGAAACGTTTGCGTTTGCTCTCGGCTCTGCGGTTGGCATGCCTGCTGTCCGAAACTTTGCCGCTTATGCCGCCGGCGCGGTTCTTATCAATGCTGTTCTTCAAATGACCATGTTTGTATCTTTCTTGGCCTTGAACCAGATGAGGGTAGAAGATCACCGATGCGAACTTTGGCCGTGGTGGCAGGTCAAGAAAGCTAGGATCAATCTCAATGGCACCAACGGCTATCCATCAACCGGTAGAGCGTCTGATGCCGATGAAGAAAGCTACCTGCAAATATTCATTCGAAACACTTATGCTCCCAGCCTCTTACGCAAGCAGACCAAGGTCGCCGTTGTTGCTGTCTTCCTCGGTCTTCTAGCGGCTGCCATTGCTTTGCTGCCAGGTATCCAGCTCGGACTGGATCAGCGTGTGGCTATTCCTGATGGATCTTATCTGATTCCATATTTCAACGACCTCTATGACTACCTTGAAATTGGGCCTCCGGTTTATTTTGTTACCCGTGGAGTCGACGCGTCCCAACGCCAAGAACAGCAAGCGATGTGCTCAAGGTTCACCACTTGCCAGCCATTCTCGTTGACAAATACTTTGGAGCTCGAAAGGCAGCGATCTGACATTTCGTACATCATGTCGCCGGCAGCAAGTTGGATTGATGACTACTTCCTCTGGCTGAACCCTATCTATGATCAATGCTGCATTGAACACGGTTCGACTTGCTTTGCAGACCGCCAGCCGGCGTGGAATACTTCACTCTACGGAATGCCTGAGGACGGCGAGTTTATTCATTATCTTCAAAAATTCCTCGCAGCGAAGACAGATGACGTGTGCCCATTGGGTGGTCAAGCTTCCTATGGAGACGCAGTAGTCTTGGACAGCGAAGCGGCACATGTTAAAGCCAGTCATTTCAGAACCGCTCATACTCGCCTTCGCAGCCAGGAAGACTTTATCAAGGCCTACTCTTCAGCACGCCGCATCGCCTCAGACATTACAAAAGCAACTGGAGCAGACGTTTTCCCCTACAGCGTTTTCTATATCTTCTTTGATCAATACCTCAGCATCATCCCGCTGACAGGAGGCCTTCTGGGTGCTGCCGTTGGCGTTATCTTCGTCATTGCGTCGTTCCTGCTGGGTTCCGTACGGACATCAGCTATTGTGACCTTAACAGTCATAATGAGTGTTGTGGATATCATGGGCGCAATGGTGGTGTTCAACGTCTCCTTGAATGCCGTTTCCCTAGTGAATCTCATTATCTGCGTTGGAATTTCGGTGGAGTTTTGTGCGCACATTGCCCGAGCCTTCATGTTCCCCTCACGGACGGTCATGGAGAACAGCTTTAATGTTAATGGACGAGATGCCCGTGCTTGGACAGCATTGGTAAACGTTGGTGGATCGGTATTCTCGGGTATCACGGTTACAAAGTTCTTGGGCGTTGGGGTTCTTGCGTTCACAAGGTCAAAGATTTTCGAAATCTACTACTTCCGAGTTTGGTTGGCGCTTGTCGTCTTTGCTGCTCTTCACGCTCTTGTGTTCCTGCCTGTCGCGTTGAGCATTGGTGGAGGTGAAGGCTATGTCGATCCCGAGAGCGAGGGCACTGCTGCTCAGGATTTGACTGATAGACGCTGGCGGGCAATCAGGATCCACGATAACAGCGACTCCGAAGATGACTATTAGTCCAAACGTTGTGCCGATATCGTCGATGTTGAACAAATCTCAGATGACGGTGCTTCTCCGTCCTATCTATGGTGAAGAAAAACCTGATTTTCGCCTGAAAGAAGAAACATTTTATCAAATTAACTGGAGTATGGTGCGCTGGAAGTCTTGCGATAATTTGCTAGGATGTAATAATGGGAGCATACACGGAGCATAACAGGATGAATTGGAATGTATTCGCAGTTTGCATAATTGAGATTGTTTTTAAATCCTGGTTTTTCTTTTCTTTTTGCCCGTCTTGATGATTGGATTTCATGTTTGGCTTTAAATAAATGGCACTAGGTATTGTGCGTTATAAATGGGGTTTTATAGAAATACTATTCGTGCAAACTGTTCTGCAACCCTGGTTATTTACTTGTCTATGTAGGAGTTCACGTACAGATCATAATTTTGACCAGCTGCAAACCGAATCCATACGTCTATCTGTATGCCTATCTGTATCAAGTATCTCACAATACGTATGGAATGTTAGTACTCTAGCTCTATCAAGGGCAAGTCATCCGCCGCCTCAGAACCCGTATGAGGAGGGGCCGCTTCATCCCAGCTCCAGCCGGACGATTCTTGGCGTCGCCAACTCAGAGCATCCGTTTTGCCAGACTTTGCATGTGAACGGGGGCTAGCTAGAGTTGCCCAAGGTGAAACCGGAGCTGCCTTGGGAGAATCACCGCCACTCTTACTGCTCTCTTCCGGACTTTGATCCAATACCTCAAGAATCTTGTGCCCACAGTCCTCGGGATATTCCTGGCCGTCTCTACCGACAAAGACAGGGGCGTCGTCATTGAAGGCGTTTTTGAGGTCTCCCAGCGTCCAGAAGGCGGTGCGGCGGGTGTTGAGCCACTCAATGCGGAAGGGGTAGCTGGCTTTCCAGCTGATGTTGCTCATCCACTTGGCTGGGGCGATGTTGAGATCAGGGGCTGTGGTCATGCGAGCCTGCGGACTGCGTTTAATATTCATGATTGGGCTTTGATGAATAAGCTTTTGTGGAGGACTGGACTTACATAGCCTTGGAATGCCTTTGACTTGTTGATGGAGAAGATGAGATAGACGGTTTTGCATTGTTTGAAGGCGAAGCTTAGCATGGGGCCGTTTTCAGCTTTTGTGATCCATAGTCCCTGATGAAATCTTAGTTATGTGAACACTCATAGACGGACTTGTGGGAGCGAGCGTGATATGTAGTTGCTTACGTCTCGCTGGGCCATTTCAACGTTCATCGAGTTGAAAGACTTGACCAAGAAGAACCGTGCTTCTATTGATTTTGTCAACGAGGGCTGCTTTAGCATGTTTTGGCATGAATGTTGAAATACCTTGTGTAGGTGTCGAGGGCCGAACACCCTCGTCCGGCCATGCGTTGGTGTCGCTGGCTTTGACGGCCTTGAGCTTCTTTGCCAGTGACTGCTCTTTTTGGTTCTCCAAACCAGCATCATCAACATTGTCAGGCGAAGTGACAACCTCATCATTTTCTTGCGCGTGTTTGACAGAGGAGTCGGGAGCAGGTATATCGTGTTGTTGACTAGACAACGATTCTTTCTCAAACGTCGAATACGCAGACTCTGAGTCGGCTCCTTTATCAACCACAGAGGGCTCAGAGCCACAGAGCTCTCCAGCGCTTTGGACGCCCGTAGCATGATATCTCGCGAGAGCCGAGTATGGAGATGGCGAGTAGACGCTCTGGCTCTGGGAGAAGACGGGAGTCGATGGAGGCACAGCATAAGGCGTGGCGTGGTGAATCTCCGAGATGATCTTCTGACGCTGTTCATCCAGGGCTTTCAGCTGTCGCAGAGCACCCAGCACCTTTTGGCGATGGTCGACATCGAAGAATCCGGTATGCTGGAGCCAGAGCTTCACATCGCTTTCAGTCGCAAGATCGACGCTGGGGGCATCGGGCGTGTCCAGGACTGTCTTCTCCCGCAGTATGTTTTCCATGGCCTCTGCAAGTGAAGCTTCAAGATTGCTGTTGGCTGTCATGGGGGGGTATTTTTTTTTTGTTTTGAGATGCGATTCTGCAAGATTTTGGAAGATACCTTCTCTCTATGGGAAGGTTGATGATGGCTGTAATAAGATGTTCGCGTGGGCTGATGAACACATATAAGGACCAGGTATTAGTACTCGAAATTTTTTCATTTTTTCATTGTTAGAATATACGCAGAGAACCAAATGACATTATGCTTTGTTCAAGCCCAGAAATGGCCAAAGTTCTGGGGTGCACGTTGCAAGCTTGGGTTGACAATGAACAAAGCTTACCCGTGCTTTTGTTACAAAGACTGGCGGCAACTTACGGCCGGGGGATTACTTAGTCTTTTATTCTTAAAGAAGTATTACATGAGCTTGGAACATGAAACAAAGAAGCCTGAGAGCACCGTGGCCTCTTATATACGTGCACTGGCTAAGAGTTGAACGACTTCGTTGGAGATTAAATGTATAAGCGGTAATAAACTTGGCGGTGTATGAGTTTACTAGCATGATGAAAAATAACAATGGAAAGATGGACTGTCCGTTTTGTGGCCAAGGAGTGATGGGTGCGGAATAGGCTGCTGATAATTGGCCCCGAATCACAACAGTAAATGCAGGCATCCGGTGTCAACGCGCGAGGCAGCTGTTTGTAAGCGTAAGTGATTGATGATAACCCAGTAACTGTTATTCACGGTCCACGTTGTGAGTGTTCAGTAGGTGTTCATTTTTAAGAAAAGGCACTTCTGTACATGTGCTCAATAGGTAGGCTGGTAGCTAGTATATGAGCTCGATTTCGAAGAATAAAGAAAAGAGCGGAAAAGACAAGGAGAAACAGCCAGACGCTGAATTATGGTCGCTTGCATGACTACTATGTATCTAGGCTGTTGGTCGGGAGATTGTTGCACGGATGTGGAGAGAAAAAGCTGTATAGGAAAAGGTAGACCAATCCAGGTCTCTATGCGGGCGGAAGAAAGGATGCAAACAAGCCGCCCTGGATACTGGCATACATAATCATGAATACAACAATCCGTGACGCGAGCTTTTGAGACTTGTCGCTGCTCAGGCTGCTCGCTATCCACCAATACCATATAGGATAGCCAGATGACAGCCGACTAATAATCTGCACGTGGAAGTTGGTAATGGCCAAAGTCGCAATCAGCGTTTGGATCGCGGCCAATGTAATCACAAACGTGCGATGCGTCTCCGATGGCACCGGCAGAGTTCTCCCAAGGCCGTGGGCCAAGTTCAAACTAAAATCGAGCCCCGACTTGAGCAGAATTGCGAGCATGGGGCTGGCTAGCAAGAAGAGTGGCAGCTGGTTTGGGGTCCAATACTTCAAAAACCCATTATTCCTAACGAACTAGTGTAAGCCATGAAAACTCCGGACGCGTCTGTGGTTGTACAAGTACAATAAACATCATCATCTTACCAGTAGTGTGCTTGCACAAAGGTAAAGATACTCGGTACCAGACGCTGGCACCACGGCCTTGGCTCGGCGTCAATGGAGCCAACCTTGCAGTATCTGTACCACGCCACCGTCTGCGGAACCGCACTCCCCGCCGCGATGAAGAGGCCACCAATGACCAAAGACGCGAGAAGCGTCAGTCTGGAAACGCTCGGGTGGCGGAAAAAATCGAGCAGACTTTGGACTGCTTGCACCGCGAATAGGAGACCGCTGACCAGGCCGTTGCTCCTAAAGGCAGTGGACAGTCCAAAGGAGACTCCGGCGCTAAGAAAAGCCAGCATCCGTTTCCAAGTAGCAGTGCTGGACCGCAGACCCATTGCAAAAAGCAAGTTGCCGGTGAAGGACAAGCAGGCAAAGGGGCTCTCCGCGTACGGGGCAGAGAGGAAGAGGCCGGCGGGCGAGAGGATGTGCAAGACGGCCGCCACGTAGGCCAGTCTGTTGCTGTTGAAGAGGACGAGGGTGAGCCTGTGTAGAGCCAGCACGGCGGCTAGATGCGCCAAGTTGGTGAAAATAATGGCCACAATGGGCTCGAGGGCGCCATCGCCAACCAGATGCAGCCCCCTGAGCGGCCGGAGGATGCCATCGACGGCAACGGGCAGCGCCGCCCCAAACGCCCATTGCTGCTCGTAAGTGTAACCTTCATGCGCAGCCTGCATGAAGTACAGCGCATCCCATCGCGTCAGTTTGGTTGCGAGGGTTGATGCGTTGACGCCAGCGCCGTACAAGTGCTCGAAGAAGAGCGACGTTGACGTGTCATAGTCACGGCTGATGGAGGTTCCGAGGGCAATGGAGAGCAAGAAAGCCTTCCAAGTGGCAAAGACGGCAAATAAAGAATAAGTGGGCGAGGTTTCATGAGATACCAGGCCCATGTTCGCTGTCGTGGAGGGATGAGCGCTGGATGATGGGTGGCTTTTTGGACTTGATGCTTTAGATCATTTGCTTGAGTGGATTCGCATCAACTGAGTGCGTGTATTTCAGTTAGCTTTGGGTGGTCCCAGAAATGGCCTTAGACGAGCATATTAGAACAAGTTAAAAACAAAGCGGAGAGATGGTAGAGAACTTGAAAGCCTAGCTTGAAGTGGATGGCAAGCATTGAAGGTGAGCTACACGTTGTTTCTGAATACGCGACTGCAGTTGAAGTTCACCAGTTAATGGGCTGGCTTAGCGAAGATTATGTACCTGTTGCATGTCTGAGTGCTCCATTTTGGTACCTCTAGTGGTATTATATGGAGATTCTGCGGCGCTGCGCTTTCAAGGTACTTTAGCCCCTAGTGAAACTGTTAGACGGATACATCATTCTGGTAGCTCTTTCAATTCACACCAGTACCAACATTCTAGATGAGCTGCTAGAAGCGCGCGCAGCATCACATGAAATCACATTGGCACTGGAAAAAGTACATGTAGACTCTTGAGATTTGATCTTGTATATAAGGGGTGCATATTATTTGATTTTTTTTTTTTGGCACATCACCCGCTGGCTGTTTAATCATCTATGGTGAATTCCTGCCCTGCGTGGCCTATCTGCTCTAGGTAGGTATAAATGCGAGCTTGCATCTTTCAGGGGAGCAGATAAAAAAGGTATTAGTACAAAATATTTCGTCTCATGTCTTCGTCATTTCTTCCCTCATATTAATATTTCTCGCCCGTCAAGATAGGTAGGGCCTCATCAGTCGTCCACCAACTCACTCCCTTCTCACCAGGATACGAGTATCGGTCCATGCTTTCTGGCTTCATCTCAACACTGTATCCAGCTTCAGTCGGCGTCTGGTAGTATCCGTCCTTGATAACGGAGGGATGCAGGAAGTGCTCGTGGAGGTGGTCAACAAACTCCAAGACAGAAAGCTTGCCGCTGACGACTACGTAGTCGATTGTGCTCAAGTGTTGAGTGTATTCGGGAAGGCCGACACCGCCAGAGTGAGGTACAATGGGCACCTTGAACTTCTTGGCCATGAGCATAACAGCCAGAGCCTCATTCACACCACCCAGGCGGCAGGCATCGATCTGGCAGATGTCAATGGCACCGGTCATGAGCAGCTGCTTGAACATGACACGGTTCTGGCACATTTCGCCCGTGGCGACGCCAATTCCGTACGGCTTGAGAGCTTCTCGAACGGCCTTGTGGCCCATGACGTCGTCTGGAGAGGTTGGCTCTTCGATGAACCAGGGCTTGAACTCGCTGAGCTCCTTCATATAGTCGATTGCCTCAGGGACGGACCAGACCTGGTTGGCATCGACCATGAGGACGTTGCCCTTGTCGAAGCCGAGGATTTCTCGTGCGATTCTCAGGCGTCTCTTGTCCTCCTCGACGTTTCCACCAACCTTGACCTTGAAGTGCCTGTATCCCTCGGCAAGGGTGTCTCTCAGAAGCTGCTTCATCTTCTCTTCTCCATATCCCAGCCAACCCGCACTCGTTGTATAAGCAGGCACAGCTCGGTTCTGAAGCGCCTCTTCAATGCGCTTGGCCTTGCCGGGCTCCTGCTCGCGCAGCATCTCAATGGCCTCCTCCGGGGTGATGGCGTCGGTGATGTAGCGGAAATCAATGCATCGGACGTATTCCTCTGGCGTCATGTCGGCGACGATGCGCCAGACGGGCTTGTTGAGCGTCTTTGCCCACAGATCCCATACTGCGTTGACGACGGCGCCGAGCGCAAGGTGGATGACGCCCTTTTCGGGGCCAATCCACCGCAGCTGGCTGTCGTTGACGAGATAACGCCATGTCTTTCCCCAGTCGGCTACGAGTGATGAGAGTGTCTTGCCCTTGAGGCGATCGGCAACGTGGAGGATGGCGGCGCAGACGATGTCGTTTCCGCGCCCAATGGTGAATGTCTATTTAAAAGGCGAGCTGTTAGCTATCACAGAGCGCATGGCTGACGTGATCTAAGAACAGCTCAAAGCAGTACTAACCATGCCATGGCCGCTGTGTTTTGAATCAGTCTCGAGAATGCAGTACGCGGCTGAATAGTCTCCAGCAGCATTCATTGCATCTGAGCCTGTCTTGTCGAGCGATGTTGGGAATCGCACATCGCGACTCTTGAAGCCGGTGATGGTAACTTCCGACATCTTGCGGAATATGATGTGTGGTTAAAAGTAATAGCTGGAAAAGAGACTATAGATTTTGTCAAAGGTATGATGAATAACCTCGCCCACGTCGTGATCGCCAACGGTATTTATTGCTCTATCTGCTGCTCTACTACAAAGCCGACTTCGCTGTCGCGGACGTCTTAAGGACTCAAATGGTGCCTCTATTAATGAGTCCCCCCCACGAGCAGCATCATCGTGGATATACGCGACGGAGAATACGTGGCCGAAACTGGTTTACCGTACGCCTCGCCGGCTCTTTTTGATCGGTAATTGGTGGAATTCAAACAACCGACGTCTTCTTCAGCGGTTTTCAACGGGCCATGCACCTCGCTGTATTATAGACCGAGCGACAATTGGCTGAGGTGTGGAACCGCTGAAGCAAATCGTGAAAAAAAGACTGGAACCTCATGACATAGTTCCTGAGGGGCTGAGTTTTGGGGAGATTTGATTCGCGCGCGTCTTGTTGAATGGGAGTCCTCGACAAGCAACTGACCTTGATATGGATTCACTTTATGCTTGCCATGGTTGAGTTATTTATTTCAGCAATCGATTGATCACTCAATTTGGGCAATAGAAGTAATCATCTTCATTCACTCGTTTGCGAAATACTGCTACGAAATATAGGTACATGTATACTGCACTTGCTCTCATGGTAGGTATACAGCCTCAATATCCGATATGGAGGGGTTCGGCATTCTATCGGAGAAGCCCCTCATCCCCGCCCCCGCATCGCGAGCGATGGAGCTTTTCGTGGTTGGCTCGGCATAGAAGCCCGAGAGCTTTTGCTTAACATGATGATTGCTCATGTGTATGGAAGAGGAGCCATGCATACTGTTCGTGCCTGATTGATGAGTGGCTTTTCATAGCCAGGGGAGCAGATGCACACTACTATGTTAGTGATGAAAAGATTTTTGAGCCTCATTATTTTCTCTGCAACTGCTCACAGAATTTTTCTTTTGCTTCTGGTGTTATTAAACCGTCGGGCTTGGGTGGCTTATGGCGTTCAAACTTAGCAAAGGCTCACTCCACCGTAACTGAAAACGGGGAAAGTGTATTTGTATTTTTCCGACGGCTTTTCTGGCCGCGAACTGTGAAGAGTTGGGAACAATAGGACGGCAAGGCGAGAGCAACAAAAATAGGGACTACAAGTCGAAACCTCAAACACACAAGTTGTAATAAGAGCACAGAAACTATCAAAGAGTTCTGTTCTGTTATATCAAATATGGTAAATGGAGTAAAAAATCTATTATATGTCAAGGTACTCCTGCGCAGCAGATCGATAAGTATTTAAAGCAATACAAGCAGTTGTAAAGGAATAAATGCGGCAAAATGCTAGATGCAATGAATTATTGGCTACAGAAAAGTATCTGAAGTGCTAGTTGTGGGCAGTAGAAGAAAGAGATGTGATAGTAATAGCAGAACGACATATGTAATAGCAACTCTAGAAAGCTGTGAATTACTAGTACGGTTTAAAGTCTCAGTATGATGTGCGTAATCTGAAAGCCGATTGACACTATAAACATCCTTTGTTGTTCATTGCTTTCCACTTAGACACCTATCTGCTATTCTGTCTCATATTGCTTTGTTTGACTAGCTAGCCTTGTGTCGTGCCATGCTTACGAATGTAATTGCTGGTCGAGACCAAAAGTTTACAATATAATGAGGTTCTTGAAACAGCGCTGGATAAACTGTCATCCCAAGAAGTAGAAGAATATGTACAATGCTTCTACTTATACGTTTCTTGATCTCTATTTCGGAACAAGACTCCTAAGACAAGCAGTCTTTACGTGGATGAGTGTTAGCGAAGAACGATGTCTATTAGATGTACATTAAATCTGTATTTTCAACTTTTTTCCTACGTACACCTATATTCAGTTGCGGATACTATGGGCATTGGTCCACAATGCCCGACTCATTTGGAATACCTTCTTACCTCGTCGTCATCGTGTAAAAATTCCCCGCTACTGCCCGGAGAATATATTCCATCTCTCTAATGAGGAGACCACTATCTTGCTCCCAAGGACTAACCATTCATCTCCGCACATAACCCCGCCTTAGGGGTTAAGCTTCTCCCAAGCGTTGCAGTCACATGCCTTTTTGAGGAGCGTTTCTCTTCACATTCGCTGCACAGCATCCGCTTTGACAAGCTGCGACATCCCGGTGAACATCCGTAGATGAGCTAGTGTAGCTCTGAGATGATCACTCGAAACGATTCATCAATCATCCCGTCTTGGCAAGTCGATGAGGTGGCGGGACCAGCTGCGAAGCCACATCACATGGCCGTTGCAAGGATTCGCAGAGAATTGAGTTGAAGCTAGTCCACCTGTTCCTTGCTACTGCAGGTGCTGAAAAGTGGTTGGACTAATACTATAAGCAGTAAAAGATCGTCTTGATCTCTGCACATTGCGATTTCGCTGCGCTTACACTGAAACAAGCCCACAAACATGTCAAACGTCAACGCCAACGTCAACGTCAAAATAACAAACAAGATGCCAAAATTCGCTCTGTTTCATCATAACGGGTCTTACGAGCTGTTAAAACCTCTCAATTGCGGATCAACCGAGCACTCGCCTGCTTATATGGAGCAGATGGAGAAGCCAAAAAGTGGTTTGCGCCTCGGATTGCTAACGCCACCATTGACTCAGTTAAAACTCTGTACGCCTCTCTAAAATCTTAGCATCTCGACAAAGGCCACCCCCCCCCACTGTGCGCACCTCACAGTCCAATAACTCGCTGGATAGGACGATTTGACTTTATGGCTGCTTCTGAGGCGCCAATATTATCGTAC